GCAGTTCTTTAGCTTTGCAACAGCGAGCGGGCTGCTGGAGCTCAGAACTTAGGGAAAGGGGCCGCACGGAGAGCCTTCGAGAAATGGAACCCCGCTTCGGCGCTCCCCTCAGCAGGATGCTGGTAGTATTTGTTTTCCTCTTTGCCGGCTTCAGGTCAATGCCTCGCTTTCCTCGTCTATTACATGGATTAATAATAACGAAATAAGGGCCGGCGCTGTGGCGTTGTAGGTTAAGCGCCCGCGGCGCCGGCATTCCCATATGGGCAACGGTTGGAGTCCTGGCTATTCCACTTACAATCCAGCTCCCTGCTGATGGCCTGGGAAAGCAGAGGATGGCCCCAGTGCTTGGGCCCCTACAACTACGTGGGAGACCAGGAAGAAGCTCCTGGCTTCTGATCGGCCCTGCTCTGGACTTTGGGGCCATTTGGGGAGTGAACCAACAGACAGAAGACCTCTTACTCCGCCTCTCAAAAAAAAAAAAAAAAAAAAAAAAAAAAAAAAAGGAAAGACGAAATGGAAAACCACAGTGTAAACTCCGTGGGAGCAGAAACCCCAATCCATGGCTTTCTTCCAGCTCCTGGCTCAGTATCATGACTGGAACATCAAACAAATGCGTTCTGTTCTGTGTCCTTTCTCTTTCGAAGAACGACGAGGAGTCAAGTGAGGCCGCGTGTGTAAAGCTTTGAGCGAGCATTCATCATCAAAGACCTCCCCACCCAGACGTGGAGCTAGAGCCCATCCCGTGTCAGCTGAGCAGCCAGCGTGACCAGCTGTGGTAGGCCACTGGCTGAGGGATGCCAAGGAGAGGGAACTTCAAAATGCCAGGGCCAGGACAAGCGCTGTGGCAAAGTGGCTTAAGCTGCCCCCTGTGACACCAACATCCCATATGGGCACTGGTTTGTGTGCGGGTTGCTCTACTTACAATCCAGTTCCCTACTAACATGCCTGGGAAACAGTGGAAGATGGCCCAGGAACCTGGACCCTGCCACCCATGTGGCAGTCCTGGGCAGAGTTCTAGTTTCTTGGCTTCAGCCTGGCCCAGCCCCTGGACATTGTGGCCATTTGGTGAGTGAACCAGTGGAAAGAAGATGTTTCTAACTCTGCCTTTTAAGTAAATTAATTCTTACAAAAAAATGCCAGGGCCATGGGCTCTCCCAGATCTCCAAAAGTACCAGGGCCAGTCCCTAAGTACACTGATTGAGCTGCTTTGGGGGTGTGTCAGATGGGGGCGCTAGTGATCTCAGATGGTGGAGTTGTGGGTCCTGGTGGGGAATGAAAATTCATTGACCTCCTTGGAGAGTACTCTGTGCTGCCTCTCCTCCAGACTCCTGTGTCTGGCTTGGAGGAGAGCCAGCCTTAGCCGGAGCTGGGAACATTCTTCAATTCACCTTCTGGCAGCAGGCAGAACTCCTGCCTCAATCAGCTCCAGAAAGAATTAGGACCAAAAGCCTGGAGGACACAGATGAAACTGGACCAAACACTGCTTGAGATGCTCCCGAAGTTGCCACCAATCAGGTACCCCTTCTGGGATCCTGCTCCCGCTTTCGAAAGGAAATTTCTAGGCTAATGAGGTGCCACTGTACTTGGCTACCTCCTGCCTAGAGGCAAAGCAGTGTGTACACAGCCCCAACGCTGTGGGGACCCTCGGAGCCAACAGCCCAATCCTTCCGGTGCTGGTGCTCCGCGGTGCGCTCACTCCACTTGCTGCCCACGCCCTTTGAAGCTCCCACCCAGAAATGACGACATGGCGAGTGAGGCTGACAGTCTTGCTGTAATTGGGAGAAAACCGGCTGCAGCATATTTGGCGGATTGAGAGTCACCAGCAGCTGCTGTCAGGGGTTGTGCAGGCAGCTGAAGGGCTCAGGGCCCCCTGTCTCCCATGGTGCAGAGGAAGAAGCTCAAGTTCTAGCCCAGACAGGAAAGTTGGTCCCTGGGACAGTCTGGCTTCCTTTCCTCACTCTCAGGAAGTTGCGGAAGGGCATCATTTTCCCCGCTGCCACAGTTCCCACTGGGAGATGCTGGGGAGGGTTTATAAAACCTCCTAGTGGAGACACCCCCACGAGCCCTCAGCTGGCCTCCGCTCCTTTCCAGCCACTTCACAGCAGAGTCCAAATCCAGAACCGTGTGTTTCAAGGGCCTGAGGGTAGTAAGGGGAGGACAGAGTGGCCAGAGGCAAGGGGTGGGGAGATCATGGGCAGTGGCCATTCTTAGCAGTTCCAGGGAAATAAGGCCTTTCTCCCCAGCACCCTGCACAGGCTCAGTGGCAGCACTGGCCACCTGCCCTCCCAGTAGGGTCCCCCAAACCCCCACAAGTGCCTCAGAGTGGAGAGGGTTCAGGCAAGGAAGACCACAAAGATGATGAAGAAGATAATGAGGATGAGGAAGATTTTGACCATGAGCCACCGGTTGGAGGTGACTGACTGGAAGTACTTGAGGATCTCTGAATGGGCGGCCTCAACATCCAGCTGGGCTCCTAGCACGTTCTCGTCGATCCTGGGGACAGGGCCGGGAGAAGAGGAAACAGAAGGACACTGGATTAAAAAAGAATGCTGTCAAAGTCTATTTATTGACAATGGTAAGATGGTCACAGTATGCAGAAGTAAAAAGTGTACACACAGAATTTGATCCCATTTTTGTGTACAGAAGAAACTCTGAAGGGTCATATAAACAAGACTTGGTTTCCGTTTGAAAATCAGCTCTGCCACTTGATAGCTCAGGACTCCTAAGTCACTTAACCTCAAGTCTTGCTTTCCTCGTCTCACAAACCCTACCTCCTCTCAGGCTAACAGTGAGTTAACATATAAAAGCCTTAAACCGGAAGGGCCCCAAAGGGGCCGGCATTGTGGTGCAGTAGGTTAAGCTATAGCATCTCCTACTGGAGTGCAGGATTGAGGCCCAGCTGCTCAGCTTCTGATCTAGCTTCCTACTAATGCACCTGGGAAGGCAGCAGAGGATGGCCCAAGTCCTTGGGCCCCTGTCATCCACATGGTAGACGTGGAAGGAGTTCCTAGCTCCTGACCTTGGCCTGGCCGTTGTAGCCACTTGGGAAGTGAAACAGGTGATGGAAGATCTGTGTCTCTCTCTGTCACTCTGCTTTTCAAATAAATAAATAATATAAAATCTTTAAAAAACAAAAGCCCCTAAGTATAATAGCCAATAGTTAGCTATTATATTTTGCTTGACAGTATTCACTGATTTCTATCTAATGAACATGTATTACATTTCTAATAAGTGTGTGTGTGTGGTGGGGGATGGAGTTCAGAGATTGTTACAGCCAGGAAATCCTCGGTCTGAGGGAAAGAGGAAGAAAAACTCAATAGGAAGACAGGGGATAAGAAAAGCCCTACACAAGCAAAACTTGTCTCTCCAGACTATAGAAAAGTCCTCAAAGGAAGGAACTGTCTCTCTCTTTTTTAAGGTTTATTTATTTGAAAGGCAGAGTTACAAAGAGAAGGAGAGATTAAGAGAGATGTCTTCCATCTGCTGTTTCACTCCCCAAATGGCCGCAACTACCAGGGCTGGGCCAGGCTGAAGCCGGGAGCCAGGAGCTTCTTCTGGGTCTCTCCACGTTGGTGCAGGGGCCTAAGGACTTGGTCCATCCTCTGATACTTTCCCAGGCACATAAGCAAGGCGCTGGATTGGAAATGGAGCAGCTGGGACTTGCTCATATGGGATGTCAGTGCTGTAGAACATGGCTTCACCCACAGCGCCAGCCCAGGACCTTCTCTTAAAATGATACCAAAGAAATGAAAACTTTCTCTGGTGAACCTGCATGTAATCCTAAAATCCAATTACAAACCTTGGTCTTTGCAAAGGAAGTCTCTAGGAATAGAGACCTTTACAAGCTCTGAGTATGGAAAGATGGTGAAGCCTGACAATCCAGGAGGAAAATGATAAGAAAAGGCAGGCTGATGGCAGCAAACCCAAAGTCTTGGGAATCCGGTCATGAGGACTGTGCGAAGCACATTTCAGTGTCTCCAATACAGGAGCCTGAATTGTGATTCACTCTTACAGGCTAACTAAATACCAGGTCTCCTAGGTTTTAGCTATAATTACACTTCTCACTGTGGGTGCACCTGTCATCTAATATAAGTAAAGCTCATATTGGCAATTAGGAATGGTTTTCTTAACAATGATGGACAAACAATAAATACAATCTTGCATGATAAGATTTCAGAAAAGAATCCATGAATGAAAACTAATAGATGGTAACTCTGGTGGTAAAAAAATTGGGAATAAATGCAGTATTCATGAGAAGTAACAGGAGACTTAGAATATGGAAATGAATAGGGCAGAAAATAACAGCATGGGAAGAGTACTGAAGAAAACAGAGAGGGGACATTTTCAAATGGAGGAGGGCAGAAGAATGCCTACGGCGGGGGAGAGAGAGAGGGAGGAGGTTATAAGCAATCAAGTGGTAAGAAGCTGGAGTGAGTCTGCACAGAAAGGACATGAAATGACATGAGAGGTGAAGAAATGATAAGAGAGGATGAGAAGGGGAGTATGAAAAGGAGAGACGTAAAACAGGTGGCTGCTGGACTTACAACATGAGCCCAAGAACTAGAAAGATTTCTTGGTCATGATTAGATTTGAGATTTTAGTTTTCTGAGTTTGTTTCCCCAAAACTTTATGGTTAAGAGTAATAGGGTGGGGCTGGCACTGTGTTGTAGAGGATAAAGCTGCCATCTGCAGTGCTGGCATCCCATATGGGCACCAGTTCGGGACCCAGCTGCTCCACTTTTTTTTTCAAGATTTATTTTTTTGGGCCCGGCGCCGTGGTTCACTTGACTAATCTTCCGCCTGCGGCACCGGCATCCCATATGGGCTCCGGGCTCTAGTCCCGGTTGTTCTTCTTCCAGTCCAGCTCTCTGCTGTGGCCCAGGAGGGCAGTGGTGCAGCACCGGCCGTGGCGGCCATTTTGGGGGTGAACCAATGGAAGGAAGACCTTTCTCTCTGTCTCTCTCTTTCTGTAACTCTACCTGTTGAATAAATAAATAAATAAATAAATAATCTACAAAATTTAAAAAGAAGATTTATTTATTTATTTCAAAGAGTGACACACAGAGAGAAGGAGAGGCAGAGAGAGATCTTTCATCTGCTGGTTCACTCCTCAATTGGCTACAACAGCCAGAGCTGCGCCGAACCAAAGCCAGGAGCCAGGAGCTTCCTCTGGGTCCCATGTGGGTACAGGGGCCCAAGGACTTGAGCCATCTTCTACTGCTTTCCCAGGCCATAGCAGAGAGCTGGATCAGAAGTGGAAGAGCTGGGACTAGAACTGGCGCCCATATGGGATGCTGGCACTGCAAGCGGCGGCTTACCCGCTATGCCACAGTGCCAGCCCCTGCTCCACTTCTGATCCAGCGCTCTGTTAATGTGCCTGGGATAACAGTAGAAGATGGCCCAAGTCCTTGGGTCTCTGCACCCACATGGGAGACCCAGAAGAAGCTCTTGGCTCCTGGCTTTGGATCATCGGCCCAACTCTGGCCATTGCGGCCATTTGGGGAGTGAACCAGCAGATAGAAGACTTCTCTCTCTCTCTGCCTCTGCTTCTCTGTAACTCTTCCTTTCAAATAAATAAATCTTAAAAAAAAAAAAAAAAAAAAAAAGAGTAATACGGTCATGTGAAGAGGACACAGAAACAGACATGATGTGGCTCTATTTGGCCAGATTTAGGAAACCCGATCAGCATAAAGACTAATGATGGGATATAGTACATGTAATAAAAACAAAGAAATTTATGATTCTACAGTGATAACTTAGAGGGGGAGAAAGCTCCTTTACAGAAAAATCCCAGCTAATACAGGGAGAAGAGATGACAGACCATTTCTTTTTTTAAAGATTTATTTATTTACTTGAGAGGCAGAGTTAGAGAGAGAGGGAGACACAGAGAAAGAGGCTTTCCATCTGCTAGTTCACTCCCCAAATGGCCACGACAGCCAGAGCTGTGCTGATCCGAAGCCAGGAGCCAGGAGCTTCCTCTGTGTTTTGCGTGCGGGTGCAGGGCCCCAAGCACTTGGGCCATCCTCCACTGCTTTCCCAGGCCATCAGCAGGGAGCTGGATTGGAAGGGAGCAGCTGGGAGTCCAACTGGAACCCATATGGAATGCCGGCATTGCAGGTGGTGGCTTTACCCACTATACCACAGTGCTGGTCTCTGGCCCCCATTTTTTAAAAAACATGGGATACCGGCACTGCAGGAAGATGCTTAACCTACTACACCACAGCGCCAGCATGACAGAACCATTTCTTGTATGTTGTAGCGTACAACTAACAAACGACTCAGGCACGGATCACCAGGTAGTGGGGAGCTGGACAATCACATCGACTCAAAGCATCACTTCTCAGCACTTATTCTGACACTCACCACCCTAAACAAGTTATCAAACTGGTATCATCATTAAAAGGATAACCTCAGGGATGGCATTCGGTGTAACAGTTAAGATGTCACTTGCTTAAGATGCCTCATGTTGCACGGGCCCCATAACAGAGTGCCTGGGTTCAAGTTCCAGCTGTGCTCCTAATTCATTTCCTATAATGGCTCAAGTAGTTGAGTCCCTGTCACTCACATGGGAGACTTGGATGGAGTTCCCAGTTTCTAGTTTTGGCTCGGTTAGGCATCTGGAGAGTGAACCAACACTGATCTCTGTCTCTGCTTGACAAATGAAGTAAGTACTGTTAAGGAGAAAAATTCTTCCTTGGGGCGGGTAAAGCCACCACCTTCAGTGCCGGCATCCCATATGAATGATGGTTTGAGACCCAGCTGCTCCACTTCTGATCCAGCTCCCTGATAATGTGCCTGGGAAAGCAACAGAAGATAACCCAAGTGCTTGGGCCCCTGCACCCAGTCTTCTTCTGGCAGACCCAGAAGAAGCTCCTGGCTTCAGATCAGCCCAGCTCCAGCCATTGTAGCCATTTGGGGAGTCAACCAGGGGATAGAAGATCTCTCTGTAACACTTTCAAATAAATAAATATTTTTAAAAGACCATCCTTTCAAAACTTCAATTTCTATACTGTTGCCCACCAATTTCCTCTACTTTATTATTTCCTTTCATGCTTTTGCAAAGTTGCTTCTTTCAACTGCACCTGCTGGCACTGATCCAATTAATCCAATCCCCTGATCCAATTCCTAGACATCTTTACTTCTCACATGAGTGCCAGTTCAGCCCCAGCTGCTCCACTTCTGATCCGGCTCCCTGCTAATGTGCCTCGGAATGCAGATGATGGCCCAAGTGCTTGAGTCCCTGCCAGCCATGTGGGAGCCTGATGGAGTTTCAGGCTCTTGGCTTCTGGCCCAGCTCCAGCCATTGTGGCCATTTGGGGAGTGAACCACCAATGAAAGATCTCTCCATCTCTTCCTCCCTGTCACTCTGCCTTTCAAGGAAATAAAAAATAAACCTTTAAAAACAGGAAAAAAAAAAAAAAAAAAAAAAAAACTGGGGGGAAATTCCTCCCCACTGTCTTATGATAATGGCACTAAAAGGGTAGAGACCTAATCCAATTATGGTTTCAAGGTGGAGCCCTTGGGAAGTGATTAGATTAGAGCGTTGTGGTAGAGCTCGTGATTATAACCTGGTGGCTTTATGAGGGACCACAGAGACACAGGTATGTGCTCTCTTGCTATGTGATGCGCTGTGACACCCTAAGACTCTGCCAGCAGAATGCCTTCACCAACTGCCCAACCAAAAGGGCCACCTGATTGTGGACAGTGGACCTCCAGAACTGTGAGCTAAAATAAACCTTTCTGTATTTCACGGTTGTAACAAAAAGATGACGAACACATTCAGTGTGCCAGGAAGAAACCGCATTCTCCTTATCCAGTATCGATCTGCTTCCTCTTGTGTTCTCTTCCCAAGAGCAAACTTCTTGCTGTGGCACACAGGATCTGCCCTGCCTCTGCAGCTTCATGCACCACACTCCCCCAGCCATAGAGAATAACTCTGCATTCCTCACTCTGCCAAGCTCTTTTTAAAGTTTTTTGGTGTGTCTCCCTCTTCTCCCTTATGGAATGGCCTTTCCTTTCCCCTTTTTGGTGCAACTCTTATCCCAGTGTCACTTCTGGGAAAGTACTTTAACTCCTTCTAGAAGAGGTATTCACTCTCAGTTCTCTCACCCCTTTCTCTTCTTCCCCGTATCATAGTGAACTATAATTATCAATTTATGTCTCTCCTACTAGACAGTGAGATCCATAAAGACCAGAATGCTCTTGTAGCTTCCTATTCCCAGTCCCAGCTTGCATGTACTGGCTCACAGCAGCAAGTGTTTGCTAAACCAATGAACTGAAGAACACTGATGGTGAAAGTCAATTTTACTCAAGGAAGACTAGAATGTAAGGGTGCATATATGCTATAATTAACTTCTTAAAACATAGGCATTGGGGATGGAACCCAACTATCTTTTTAAATTCTGTTTCACTGAATTCTTAACAATATTGTAATGTTCCAAATACATCTTAGCCAAAGGAGCTGAAGCATTTATGGCCTAACTTGGCAAGAGGTTCACTAGGTCTCAACCAAACTAGATTAAGAATCAGCCCGTTCCGACTGAAGGGTCAAGATAGCTGTACTCACAGTACCTTAAAAATGGCTAGTGCTCAACATATATTAACTGAGTAAATACCCTTTTGATCTGTGGTTTCCAAACTTGGATGCTCATCAGAACATTCTGTGGTGCTTGTAAACAACAAAGCTTCCGGGAAGCCTACTCCACTCACATCTACTCCATCAGAGTTCCCATGTTTTCTTCACTTTGCCTAATTAAAGCTGCTTAGAGAACTGGTGCTGAAAAACCTGCTGTCTACAAATGCAGGTGTTCAACACGTTTCACATGATCAACAACCAAGGGTACAAGTGCTCTGCCAGGTGCTGTATTGAATTAAGAAAAATCTGGCCCGGACTTGGCCTGCAGGCTTGAGTAAGTCCACAGGCAGTGTGTCCACCCGTGCATTCCTCAAGCCTCCCACACCTCCTTTGCCCCATCCTCTCCACCAGTGGCCTTTCTTCTTCTTCTTCTTCTTTTTTTTTTAAACAGACTTAAGGCAGACAGAGCGCGGGAGAGGCAGAGAAAGAGAGATCTTCCATTTGCTGTTCATTTGCCAAAGCCAGGAGCCTGGAACTCCATCTGGGTTTCCCACAGGGATGAGAGAAGCCCAAGCTCTTGGGACATCTTCCACTAATTTCCCAGACACATTAGCAGAGAGGTGGATCGAAAGTGGGGCATCCAGGAGCAAACCGGTGCAATGGCTTAACTGCTGATCCACAGCATGGGTCCCTGGCCTTTCTTCTTAATGAACTGAGAAGACTGAAGCAGTCTGAAGAGACCTGACAGTCCACTCCCTCATCTACCACCTTTGGCACCTGTATGACATGCTCTGCCCTCCTCACCTATCAGCTCCTCTCACAGCCAAGCCCTTGCCTGATGTACTGGATCCCACTGCTCACCTTCTCAAGGAATTCATCTCAAGGATTTTCCCCTCTGATTTCTAGATCACCAACTTTTATATAAACATATTTTTATTTTCTCTCAGTCTCTAAAACAAATAGATTACCACTGAGCTCTCACTAGACAAATTTGGAACAATTTACACAATGAAAGTAATGATTACCCTGTTTTTTTATTATTTGACAGGTAGAGTTACAGACAGTGAGAGTGAGAGTGAGAGAATGAGAGAGAGAGAGAGAGAGAGAGAAAGGTTTTCCTTCCATTGGTTCACTCCCCAAATAGCCACTACGGCCGGCACTGTGCCTATCTGAAGCCAGGAGCCAGGTGCAGGTGCCCAAGCACTTGGGCCACAGCAGAGACCTGGAGTGGAAGAGGAGCAACGGGGACTAGAACCCAGTGCCCGTACGGGATGCCAGCACTGCAGGCGGAGGATTAACCAAGTGAGCCATGGCGATGGCCCCATACCCTGTTTATAATACAAAAAATAAATGACTTTAAGTTTATAATGATGTTCAAAGAAAAAGAAAAAAAGGGCCAGCATTGTGGTGTACCAGGTTAAGCTGCCACTTGCAAGCTGCCACCAGTCTCCCACCTCTGAGTCTGGGTTTGTGTCTCTGATGCTCCACTTCTGATCCACTTCCTGCTAATGTGTCTGGGAAAGCAGTTCAAGATGGCTTAAGTGCTTATGCACTTTATTTGAAAGAGCGTCAGGCAGAGAAGAGATAGAAGAGAGGTAGTCCATTCACTGGTTCACTCCCCAAATGGCCACAACAACCAAGGCCAGGAGCATGGAACTCCATCCAGCTCTCCCACATGTCTGGCAGAGGTATTCAAGTCCCAGGTATTCCACTTCTGATCCAGCTCTCTGCCATGGCCTGGAAAAGCAGTGGAAGATGGTCCAAGTCCTTGGGCCCCTGCCCCTACATGGGCGATCCAGAAGATACTCCTGGCTCCTGATCGGCCCAGCTCTGGTAATTGTGGCCATTTGGGGAGTGAACCAATGGATGGATGACTTCTCTCTCTCTGCCTCTGCCTCACTGTAACAATGCCTTTCAAGTAAATAAATAAATCTTTATAAATAAATAAATAAATAAAAATAAAAAGTATTTAGGGATGAATCTACTTTGAAATGGTTCAGTGGGGCCAGTGCTCTGGTGTAGCAGGTAAAGCCACCACCTGCAGTGCCGGCATCTCATATGGGCTCTGGTTCGAGTCCTGGCTGCTCCACTTCTCTTTCTCTCTCTCCCTCTCCTGCCTGTGTAACTCTGACTTTCAAATAAATAAATAAATCTTAAAAAAAAAAAAAAAAAAGAAATGATAGTTCAGAAATAAAAAAGATAAAGCAAGTCTGGCCAAATATTAACATCTATAGGATCTGATGGCAGATATGAGGGCTTATCATTGCTCCTTCAACTTCCTGGTAGATTTAAAAACTTTTGTAATAAAAAACTAAACCAGAAAATTCTGACTGACTTATTTCTCTCAGCCATCGCTCCATTTTGAAGCAAAATTCCTCAAATGTGTTGTCTATTCTTACTCCAGATGCTCTCCGGCATTCTTTTTTTTTTTTTTTCATTAAAGATTTATTTATTTATATGAAAGTCAGAGTTACACAGAGAAAGAAGGAGAGTCAGAGAAAGAGAGAGGTCTTCCATTTGCTGGTTCACTCCCCAAATGGCCACAACAGCCGGAGCTGCGCTGATATGAAGCAAGGAGCTTCTTCTGGGTCTCTGACATGGATGCAGGTGCCCAAGGACTTGAGCCATCTTCCACTGCTTTCCCAGGCCATGGCAGAGAGCTGGATCAGAAGTGGAGCAGCTGGGACTTGAACTGGTGTCCATAAGTGATGCCAGCACTGCAGGCAGTGGCCTTACCTGCTGCGCCACAGCACTGGCCCCCTTATTCTCTCTCTTTTTTTTTTTTTTTTGACAGACAGAGTTAGACAGTGAGAGAGAGACAGAGAGAGAGAAATGTCTTCCTTTTTCTGTTGGTTCATCCCCCAAATGGCCGCTACGGCCGGCATGCTGAGCTGATCCGAAGCCAGGAGCCAGATGCTTCCTCCTGGTCTCCCATACGGGTGCAGGGCCCAAGCACTTGGGCCATCCTCCACTGCACTCCTGGGCCACAGCAGAGAGCTGGACTGGAAGAGGGGCAACTGGGACAGAATCCGGCATCCCAACTGGGACTAGAACCTGGGGTGCCGGTGCCGCAGGCGGAGGATTAGCCAAGTGAGCCGCAGCACCGGCCTCCTTATTCTCTCTTAAACCCCACTCCATTCAAACTTTTGCTCTCATTCCTCCATTGAACCTGACTCAAAGTCACCAACATCTACACTGCTGCATCTGATGACCTCATTCAAGGTTCTGCTTCTAGTGATGGTTGAGTATCTCCCATTAGACCCCTAATTCCATAAGTAACAACTATAAACCCCAAACTATAAAAAACTACCTCAGTTCTGCCAATTTCATTGTCTGCCAAGACAAAAGACGTCAATATTCTCTGGGCAAACACAACAGAATCCAGAATCTCTGTAATTCACCACTTACAACACGTGAGACAACCTCAAACTAGTAAACTGCTATGGTTTGGAAAACTGGGTGGCAGGCCTACTAGGAGGTCTTTAGGAGCTTGCCTTTGAAAGGAAGTTCTTGGGGCCAGAACTGTGGAATAGCTATTATGGGCACTGGTTTGAATCCTGGCTGTTCCAATCCAGCTCCCTTGCTAATAAGTCTGGAAAAGCAGTGGAAGATGGCCCAAGTACTTGGGCCCCTGTATCCACATGGGAGAGCTGGAAGAAGCTCCTGGCTCCTGGCTTCAGATTGGTCCAGCTCTGGCCATTGCAGCCATTTGGGAAGTGAAGCAGTGGATGGAAGATGTCTCTCTCATATATCTACATACACACATACATACATACATATAATGCCTTTCAAATAAATAAATTCTTAAAAAAAAAAAAAAAAGATAGTTTCCCTACAGGGTTGGTTATAGAAGCTGATCTGTTTCCTGTGTGTCTCTGCCTCCTGGCATGCCACGTGATCATCCCTCTACACGTGCCACTGCCAGCCTCTATTGGATGCCAGATTAACAGGACTGCCTGACCTGGGACTGCAAACCTACAACTCTGAGCTGAAAATAAACTTTCTTCCCTTTAACGCTGTTCCTCTCAGGTTTAAAGTCATGAAAAGCTGACTAATACATAGATTATCAAGAAAATTGTGATCCACACTAATATGAGATAAAGAATGGGAACAACCCTAGGATAATTTAGATATGGATTAGCAGACAAGGGTCTTAAGCAGTTTCTATAATTGAAGGAAAATATCCCTGTAATGAATAAAAATACAGTATTTCTCAAAAGGGAAACATTAACTATTAATAAGAACCAAATGGTAATTTTTTTCTGAATGGCATGCCAGCTTTGCAGATGGCAACTTAGCTCACTGCACAACATTGGCCCCAAACAATTATTTATTCATTTTAACATTTATTTATTTATCTGATAGAGTGACAGAGTGAGAAGGAGGCAGAGAGAAAGAAATCTTCCATTCACTGGTTCATTCTCCAAATGGCTGCAGCTGCCAGGGCTGGGCCAGACAAAGGCCAGGATTCAGGAGCTCCATCCAGGTCTCCCATGAGAGTGGCCAGGGCCCCAACTTGGGCCATCATCTGCTGCTTTCCCAGGTATATTATCAGGGAGCTGGATCAGAAGAGGAGCAGCCAGGACTTGAACCAGCACTCTGATATGGGATCCTGGCCCCAAATAGTAGTTTTACAACTGAAAAATACAATATCTGAAATAAAAATCCACCAAGTGGGCTTAACAGCAGATTGATTATGTCATATCATATATGTGTAAATACATATGTATACATATATAAGGATTCAGTTTGTGGACAGGGCAGGCACTATGGCATAGCAGGTTAAGTGCTGTTTGAGACACCCATTTCCTGTATCAGAGTAACTGGTTTGCTGGCTACTCCATGCTTCCAAATCCAGCTTCCTGCTAATGTGCCTAGGAGACAGCAGAAAATGGTGCAAGTACTTGGGTTACTGCCACCAACAAGGGAAAATCCAGCTGGAGTTCCTGGGTCCTGGCTTCAGCCTGGCCTAATCACGGCTGTTGTGGACACTTGGGAAATAACCAGCAAGCGGAAGATCTGTCTCTCACTCTGCCTGTCAAACAAATAAGCAATTTTTTAAAAGGTGAATGGGTGGGCATTGTGGCACAGGTTAAGCTTCTGCTTGGGACACCTATATCCCATGCTGGAGTACCTGGGATCAAGTCAAAGCTGTTTCTAACTCAGCGTCTGCTCTTATATGTAGAGTTCAGAAAAGGTGATCTCATAGAAGTCAAAAGTATAATGGTGATTACCAGAGGCTGGGAGGGAAGGGAGGAAGGAGGCATGGGGAGAAGTTGATTAATGCATAGTAAGCTATAGTACTGCATAAACGTGTACATTAAAGAAAAGAGAAGGGGTGGGGTTTCACACAGCAGTTAACATACCATTTGGGACACCCTTATCCCACATCAGAGTACTTGGGCTTGAGTCCCAGGGCGGGTTTTATTATGTATTTTTTTTTTTTTTTTGACAGGCAGAGTGGACAGTGAGAGAGAGAGACAGAGAGAAAGGTCTTCCTTTGCCGTTGGTTCACCCTCCAATGGCCGCCGCGGCCGGCGCGCTGCGGCCGGCGCACCGCGCTGATCCGATGGCAGGAGCCAGGAGCCAGGTGCTTCTCCTGGTCTCCCATGGGGTGCAGGGCCCAAGCACCTGGGCCATCCTCCACTGCACTCCCTGGCCACAGCAGAGGGCTGGCCTGGAAGAGGGGCAACCGGGACAGAATCCGGCGCCCCGACCGGGACTAGAACCCGGTGTGCCGGCGCCGCTAGGCGGAGGATTAGCCTAGTGAGCCGCGGCGCCGGCCCCAGGCCTGTTTTTGATTCCAGTTTTGTGCTGATGCATACCACAGGAAGTTAGATCAGAAGCAGGGGAGCCAGGACTGGAACCAGGCGCTCAGATATGGGATGCAGGTGTCCCAAGCGGTGACTTTAACCACTGTGCCAAATGCCTGCCTCTCAGCTTGCATTGCACTTGACAAAGCAGCAAAACCTGCCCAGGCCGCTCACTCTTCCCTTGATGTATTTTCTTCCCTTGCTTCCTAGCACACTGCATTCACTTTTCTTCCTCCCTCATCAACTCTCGCTCCTTTTCAGTTTCCTCCCGTGACTGAGATGTGAGTTGGGAAATGGCGTGGGATGCAGGGATTTTCATCTTTATACACATACATGCTCCTTTATCCAGCTGCAAAGCCCAGTTATGCTTATATTGTTATCTTTGTCTCAGGCCTGTCTCCTAAACACCATCTATTGATTTACCTACAAACATCTCCACTTAAATGTCTCACAGACAACTCTCTACCTCTTGGATGTGTCTAACATCAAATAAAATTATTTCCCCTTTAAATATTTGATGCCATCTAGCCTACCCTTTCATTTGCTCCTATATAAAACCTCTTTTTTTTTATAATTTATATTTAGCTTATCAAGCTGTTGATTCTTTTTTTTTTTTTTTTTTTTTTGACAGGCAGAGTGGACAGTGAGAGAGAGAGACAGAAAGGTCTTCCTTTGCCATTGGTTCACCCTCCAATGGCTGCCGCGGCTGGTGCGCTGCAGCCGGCGCACCGCGCTGATCTGAAGCCAGGAGCCAGGTGCTTCTCCTGTCTCCCATGGGGTGCAGGGCACAAGCACTTGGGCCATCCTCCACTGCACTCCCTGGCCACAGCAGAGAGCTGGCCTGGAAGAGGGGCAACCGGGACAGAATCTGGCGCCCCGACCGGGACTAGAACCTGGTGTGCTAGCGCCACAAGGCGGAGGATTAGCCTAGTGAGCCGTGGTGCCGGCCGAGCTGTTGATTCTGTTTCTATCTTTTTCTTTCTTTCTTTTTTTTTTTTTTTTTTTTTTTTTGGATTTATTTATTTATTTGAGAGGCAGAGCTACAGATAGAGAGGGAGAGGCAGAGAAAGGGGCCTTTCATGTGCTGGCTCACTCCCCAAATGGCTGCAATGGTCACAGCTGTGCCAATCCGAAGCCAGGAGCCAGGAGCTTCTTCAGGATCTCCCACGTGGGTGCAGAGGCACAAGTACCTGTGCCATCTTCCACTGTTTTCCCAGGCTTCAGCAGAGAGCTGGATTGGAAGTGGAACAGCCAGGAGTTGAACCGGTGCCCATATAGGATGCTGGCGCTGCAGGCAGAAGCTTAACCTATGACGCCACAGCACCAGTCCCTCGCAATGTGTTTTTAAGATAGAAACAAGATGTGGCTGGCACTATGGCGTAGTGGGTTAAGCTTCCGCCTGCAGTGCCATCATCCCATATGGACACTGGTTCAAGTCCTGGCTGCTCCACTTTTGATCTAGCTCCCTGCTGATGGCCTGGCAAAGCAGTGGATGATAGCTCAGGTACTTGGGCCCCTGCACCCACACGGGAGACCCAGAGGATGCTCCTGGCTCCTGGCTTTGGATTAGCACAGCTCCAGCTGTTGCAGTCATCTGGGAAGTGAGCCAGCACATGAGCCTCTTTCTCTGCCTTTCTCTCTCTCTATCTGTAGCTCTGCCTCTCAAATAAATAAATAAATCTAAAAAATAAATACTAAATAAAAATAAATAAATAAATCTAAAAAACACCCATACTGAGAATCCTGTACTCAACAATTCCACTGGTACCACCCTGGTCTCAGCCACCATTACATCTTGACTGTATTACTGCAAAGGCCTGTGCTCTGCAGTCCTCTCCCTGCTTGTACACTATCCCCCAACAATGTTGTCAAAGAAAAAAAACGTGATCCTTGTTAAAGCAGGTCAGATTATATAACCTCCCATCAAAATTCTTCAACACGCCCAGTGGCTGGCGCCGCAGCTCACTAGGCTAATCCTCTGCCTTGCGGCGCCGGCACACCGGGTTCTAGTCCCGGTCGGGGTGCTGGATTCTGTCCTGGTTGCCCCTCTTCCAGGCCAGCTCTCTGCTGTGGCCAGGGAGTGCAGTGGAGGATGGCCCGAGTGCTTGGGCCCTGCACCCCATGGGAGACCAGGATAAGTACCTGGCTCCTGGCTTCGGATTAGCGCGGTGCACCGGCGGCAGCGCTGGCCGCGGTGGCCATTGGAGGGTGAACCAACGGCAAAAGCAAGACCTTTCTCTCTGTTTCTCTCTCTCACTGTCCACTCTGCCTGTCCAAAAAAAAAAAAAAAAAAAAAAAATCTTCAGCAGCTCCCATGTCCCTCAGAGTAAAACCAAAGTCTCATGATGGTCTTAGAAAACTGTAAGGACTGACCCCTCCTCCCCTCACTGTGCTGCTTCTCCCGCTTGTTCCCAGCTGCTGTTCTTTAATCAGACGCATGCCTGACTGAAGGCCTTTACAAGAGTTCTTTCATTAAAGACGCAACAAAATCTTAAAAAAGAGTGCTTGTTGCCTGGTATCTAAAGGGCTAACTTCCTCACCTTTTCCCAAGTTATTTATTTCTGTATCTATATGTATTTTTTTAAGATCTATTTATTACTTATTTGAAAGAGCGACAGAAAAAAAGTGGAGACAGGAGAGAGAGGTCTTCCACCTGCTGGTTCACTCCCCAAATGGCCTCACTGGCTAGGGCTGGGCAAGGTCGAAGCCAGGAGCCAGGAAATTCATCTGGCTATGTAGGTGGCAGGGGCCCAAGCACTTGGGCAATCTGCTGCTGCTTTCCCAAGGAACTGGATCATAAGTGGAACAGCTGGGGCTGGAACTAGTATCCGTATGGAATGCTGGTGTCACAGACTGCAACTTAACCCACGGTCACACTACATTGGCCCTGAATATGTCATCTTCTTAATAGGGTCTATATTACCATCCCATTTAAAAAGAAAATTGGAGCAGGCTACAGCCTAACAGTTACAATGTCTGCATGCCACATCCAAGTGGCTGGTTAGGGGAGTGAACCAGTGAATAAAAGATCTTCTCAGCCGGTGCTGCGGCTCACTAGGCTAATCCTCCGCCTAGCGGCCCCGGCACACCGGGTTCTAGTCCCGGTCGGGGCGCCGGATTCTGTCCCGGTTGCCCCTCTTCCAGGCCAGCTCTCTGCTGTGGCCAGGGAGTGCAGTGGAGGATGGCCCAAGTGCTTGGGCCCTGCACCCCATGGAGACCAGGAAAAGCACCTGGCTCCTGCCATCAGATCAGCACGGTGTGCCGGCGGCAGCACGCTGGCCGTGGCGGCCATTGGAAGGTGAACCAACGGCAAAGGAAGACCTTTCTTTTTTTATTTATTTATTTATTTATTTTTGACAGGCAGAGTGGACAGTGAGAGACAGAGAGAGAGAGAAAGGTCTTCCTTTGCCATTGGTTCACCCTCCAATGGCCGCCGCGGCCGGTGTGCTGCAGCCGGTGCACCGCGCTGATCCGAAGGCAGGAGCCAGGTGCTTTTCCTGGTCTCCCATGCGGGTGCAGGGCCCAAGTACTTGGGCCATCCTCCACTGCACTCCCGGGCCACAGCAGAGAGCTGGCCTGGAAGAGGGGCAACCGGGACAGAATCCGGTGACCCGACCGGGACTAGAACCTGGTGTGCCGGCGCCGCAAGGCGGAGGATTAGCCTAGTGAGCTGCGGCGCCGGCCTAGGAAGACCTTTCTCTCTGTCTCTCTCACTGTCCACTCTGCCTGTCAAAAAAAAAAAAAAAGATCTCTCCTCCCCGTCTCTGCCCCTCTATAACTCTGCCTTTCAAATAAATAAAATTTTTTTAAAAAGTAAAACAAGGCCGGCGCCGTGGCTCACTAGGCTAATCCTCCGCCTTGCGGCGCCAGCACACCGGGTTCTAGTCCCGGTCGGGGCGCCAGATTCTGTCCCGGTTGCCCCTCTTCCAGGCCAGCTCTCTGCTGTGGCCAGGGAGTGCAGTGGAGGATGGCCCGAGTGCTTGGGCCCTGCACCCCATGGGAGACCAGGAGAAGCACCTGGCTCCTGGCTCCTGCCATCGGATCAGCACGGCGGCCATTGGAGGGTGAACCAACGGCAAAGGAAGACCTTTCTCTCTGTCTCTCTCTCTCACTGTCCACTCTGCCTGGTCAAAAAAATAAAAAAAGTAAAACAAAACATTTTCTTTTTTAAAAAAATAGACAAAGCTCCTTGCCCTTGTGGAACTTACATCCTCGTAGTGAGGTTACATAATGAAAAATAAACAAGCAGGCCAGAGCCGTGGCTCACTTGGTTAATCCTCCACCTGCGGCGCAGGCATCCTATATGGGTGCCAGGTTCTAGTCCTGGTTGCCCCTCTTCCAGTCCAGCTCTCTGCTGTGGCCAGGGAGTGCAGTGGAGGATGGCCCAAGTGCTTGGGCCCTGCACCCCATGGGAGACCAGGAGGAAGCACCTGGCTCCTGGCTTCGGATTGGTGTAGCTCCGGCCGTAGTGGCCATATGGGGGGGTGAATGAATGGAAGGAAGACCTTTCTCTTTGTGTCTCTCTCACTGTCTGTCAAATAATAAATGAATAAATAAACAAATAAGTAAATGGCCCAATATGTTTAAAAGTGATAAATGACAGAACATAAAAGTAGGACAAGACAGGAGCATTTGGCACGGCGGTTACGACACCAGTGGGGACACCCACATCCTTTATCAGACTGCTGGGTCCCAGCCAGATGGAGTTCCCAGCTCCCAGCCTCAGACTGGCCCAGTCCTGGCTGTTGCAGGCATTTGGGGAACCAGTGGACAAGGGCTCACTCTTTCTAGCTCTTTCTAGCTCTGTCATTCTCAAAAAAAAAGTCATGTCTTCTTCAGAGCTTTCCCTCCTATGCAGTCTGATATACCTACTCTATTACTTTCTTTTTCTTTAATATTTACTTTATTTATTTGAAAGGCAGAGTTAGGCCTGCACCGTGGCTCAATAGGCTAATCCTCCGCCTTGCAGCGCTGGCACACCAGGTTCTAGTCCCGGTCGGGGCGCCAGATTCTGTCCCGGTTGCCCCTCTTCCAGGCCAGCTCTCTGCTGTGGCCCGGAGGTGCAGTGGAGGATGGCCCAGGTCCTTGGGCCCTGCACCCCATGGGAGACCAGGAGAAGCACCTGGCTCCTGCCATTGGATCAACGCGCTGCGCTGGCCGCAGCACACCGGCCGCGGCGGCCATTGGAGGGTGAACCAACGGCAAAAGGAAGACCTTTCTCTCTGTCTCTCTCTCTCACTGTCCACTCTGCCTGTCCAAAAAAAAATGTTTGAAAGGCAGAGTTACAGAGTGGGAGAGGGGGAGGGAGGGAGAAAGGTAGAGGGAGGAAGGGAGGGAGAGGAGGAGGGGGAGGGGGAGGGAGAGAATCTTCCATCCGCTGTTTCACACCCCTAACAGCTGCCAACAGCCAGGGCTGGGCCAGGCTGAAGTCAGGAACCAGGAGCTTCAACCAGGTCTCCCGCTTGGGTACAGGGGGCCAGGTACTTTAGCAATCTTCTGCTGCTTTCCCAGGTGCATTAGCAGGAAGCTAGATTGGAAGTGGAGCAGCTGAGACTTGAAGTGGAGACCATATGGGATGCTGGCATTGCAGGCGATGGGTTAACCTGTTATGCCACAATTCCGGCCCCTCAGTTACTTTCTTGACACATCATCCTTCTTCAATTCTCTGTATAGCCTCTATAATTACCTTAAAACTGTTCTTGTCAATTTCTAAATTTTTTATTATTTTGACAGGTAGGTCACAGACAGTGAGAGAAAGAGAGAGAAAGGTCTTCCTTCCATTGGTTCACTCCCCAAATGGCTACCATGGCCAGCGCACTGCGCTGATCCAAAGCCAGGAGCCAGGTGCTTCCTCCTGGTCTCCCATGCAGGTGCAGGGCTCAAGCACTTGGGCCATCCTCCACTGCCTTCCCGGGCCACAGCAGAGAGCTGGACTGGAAGAGGAGCAGCCGGGACTAGAACTCGGTACCCATATGGGATGCCAGCACCGCAGGCAGAGGATTAGCCAAATGAGCCAGGGCGCCAGCCCCTTTTTCTTTAATTTTTATTTGGAAGGCAGACAGAAATCTCCTACCTGCTGATTCACTTCTCAAATGCCTGAAATGGCTGTGTCTGGGTCAGGCTGAAGCCAAGAGCTACAAAATCAATCTTGGTCTCCTATCTGGGTGGCAGGGACCCAATTAACTGAGCCCTCACCTACTATCTCCCGGAGTGCACGTTAGCAAGAAGCTGGAATAAGCAGTGGAGCCAGACTTGAACCCAGGCACTATAAAGTGGGATGTGGGCATCTCACATAGTATCCTAGCTGTTATGCCAACTGCCCACGCCTAGTTGCTTATTTTTAATGGTTGTCCCCAGCTGTCTGATCATATTCCATACACAAACTATAATGCCGACTTGTGCAATAGACACCTTACTGTTCTATTCTCCTCTGTTACCTTCAGCACCTAGAACTGCACCTGACACAGAAGAAGTGCTCAATAAGTACTTGTTGAGTGAGTGGAAAAGGTCACGGTACTCTATCAGAGGGCACTCGGAGCCACAGATCCACAGGGAAACGAAGGCTCTTCTGTTTGGGGTGAGAGAGAGAACGTCTCACCTCTGAATGGTTTCCTCCTGTTCCTTAACCATGTGTGCCAACTGCTGAAAGATGGAGCCCAGCTCAACAATTGTAGACTCAATGTTCTGCATGGTGTCTGCTCGACTCTGGATGTAGGAATCCTTCAGGAGAGGGAGAGAGCGCGTGAGCACTGAGCATCTTCAGGGTAGGGCCTCGGTCTTCAGGACCCTCCCAGCTTGCCATTCAGACCAAGGCACACTCCAAACACTCTCCTGGGCACCACAGAGGACCTGATCCTCCTCAGCGCAAAGCCTGGGTACCTGCTCATCAATGAGCTGCAGCTGCTGGCTGGTCCTAGAGTCCACCATGTCAATGGTCACGTCCCTGGAGGCACGGGACTCTGCCCCCAAAACCACAGGACCACCCCCTGCGGGAAGAAAGAAGACAGGACACATCTCAGCGGTTAAAAGCAGGTTCAAAGTCCGAATGTTCTGGATTTGAATCCCAGCTCTGGCACTTACTAGCCTTGTGACCCTGGGCAGGTGATTTAACCCTCTGAGCCTCAGTTTTCCTCACCTGTTAAGTGGGGAAAATGACAGGTGCTTTCTCAAAGTGTGGTTGTGAAAATTAAATGAGAATGAGAAACAAGCATACACAAACACTGTCATTCTGCTGCATCTGATTCTGTCTGCCCCAAAACTGAGCATGTGGGAGATGTAAGCACGCGTCATGAATCCTCACAAGCAATCAAGTTTGATGTCCAAGAGTCAAAGCCTGGCAATATCCATGCCCCTCATTCTCCTACCTGATCCCAGCCGGCAGAGGATGCAGTCACACACGCAGGAGGAACCGAACCCCACCCCTCAGAGCTTCCATACTGCCTGTGACTTACCTAGGTGGTTGGGGGCAAGGGGTAGGGCTGACACGGGTGCCCGGGAGAACTGTTCCCGCCGGCTCCTCTGCTGCTTCAGGTTCTGGGGTTGGGGAAGAAAGGCAAAGGTCAAGAGGCCTCTGGAAAGCAGGCCTGTTAGAGATCTCTCCTGTAGGCTGCACGACCCCCTGGAACACTTGTCCCCTTCCCATTTCTCTCTTGGGCCCCCAGCCCCACATTCCCGCCCCTGCTACACAGATTACTCTCACCTCTGTCCTCACTTCTAAAACTGATTTGAAGTCATTGGACATGGAGGCCAGTTTTGACTACAAGAAAAGGAGAGTGGATCAGCCTAGGAAGATGACACCTTCCCCACACCCTCCCTTCCTGCCCGGGTCCCACCTGCAAGGAGACCACAATGGTGTTGGAGTGGGTCTGCAGGTGCCGGCCACTCTGGCTGCCCTTGGCCCTCACGAAATCCTGAAGCTGAGCGATTTGTTTGTTGAGGCTATTGATGTCCTGGCAAAGGAGCCCACAGAAAAACAGAGCATTAACCAAGGAGTCCTCAGTCGATGTCTCCCCCCATGGTCTCTGGCAGGGTACAAGATACTAGCAAGAGTCAGACTATCACAGTCAGACCAGAAGGGCCTGCTTAGATTTTCCTAGCTCTTGTATTTGCAGACAAAAGCCAGAAAGATGTAAAGTAATGTGTGACTTGTTTACCACTTCATACCTTACTGCTCTATTCTTCCCTCTGAGGCCATATTCATGGTCACAGAATACTTTCAAAGGCCAAAATCTTTCAGCAAGCTGACCAACGAATTACTTGAACAGTACTTAGGAAAAAGGAAAAAGACCAGAGGCAGGGCCGACGCTGTAGTTAGCAGGTAAGGCTGCCTGCCGCCTGCAGTGCCAGCATCCCATATCGGCACTGGTTCAAGTCCCACTTCTGATCCAGCTCTCTGCTCTTGCCTGGGAAAGTAAGGAAGATGGCCCAAGTGCTTGGGCCCCTGTACCTACATGGGAGACCCCAAGGAAGCTCCTGGCTTCGACCTGGCCCAGCCCTGGCTGTTGTGGCCATTTGGGGAGTGAACAAGCAGATGGAAGCCCTCTCTTCTCTCTCTGTAACTCTCCCTTTCAAATAAATAAAATAATAAAAAAAAATAGTACAAGAAATTGGCTAGAATAAAAAAAAAAAACTAGACTAGGTAATTATTTTCGTGTTTTTCCATTTAGTATGCCAACGCTAGTCATTCTCTTGAGAACCCTAGACTCATTCCCATTGAGCTACTGCAGCCAATTGGGGAGTGAACCAGCGGATGGAAGACCCCTCTCTCTGCTTCTCCTTCTCTCTGTGTAACTCTTTCAAATAAAATAAATCTTTTTTAAAAAATTAAAAAAAAAAATAAATAAACCCACTCTAGCCCAAGCTCTCTTTTCAAAAACAATCCTTTAGGAGCCTAGACGGCCATCTTCCCAGCCTGCCTTCATTCAATCCATTCCAACACAGCAACCAGAGTGATCTTTTTTTTTATTTTTTGACAGGCAGAGTGGACAGTGAGAGAGAGAGACAGAGAGAAAGGTCTTCCTTTGCCGTTGGTTCACCCTCCAATGGCCGCCGCGGCCGGAGCGCTGCGGCTGGCACACCGCGCTGATCCGATGGCAGGAGCCAGGTACTTATCCTGGTCTCCCATGGGGTGCAGGGCCCAAGCACTTGGGCCATCCTCCACTGCACTCCCTGGCCACAGCAGAGAGCTGGCCTGGAAGAGGGGCAACCGGGACAGAATCCGGCACCCCGACCGGGACTAGAACCTGGTGTGCTGGCGCCGCAAGGTGGAGGATTAGCCTAGTGAGCTGCGGCGCCGGCTCAGAGTGATCTTTTAAACCAAAAATCAGGATGCTTAAGAAATCTCCCAGTAACTTACCACTAACTAATGAAACCCAGATTCCTCGGCTGGCTTAGAACAGGCCCTCTCTGGTCCGGCCACTGCCCTTTGACGTGCTCCCTCCCAGTCACCTCCTACCTGCTGTGCTGGAGCTACACTGGCCTCTTCCGTGCTCATCAAGACATCAAATCTGCCTGCATTTCAGGAACACTCCTTTTGCTAGTCCCACATTCTGGATTACATTCCCACTTTCTGGAATGTACTCCCAGCAGATCTATGGATGACTGGCTTTTCCTCACCATTCGGTTCTCAAATATCACTCTGAGCCACACCAACCTAGATCTCCCCATCTAAATTAATACCGCCCCCGACAAAGTCACTCAGTAATGTCGGCTATCAATTAATAAATAAATGAGTCCTCAAAAGAATTCTCTAAGTACTACCCCCCTTTATTGGTAAGGGGACTGAAGCAAAGAGCAGTTAGGAGCTTAACCAAGGTCACAACGTGAGTGGCAGACCTGGGTTCAAACTCAAGTGAGCTGGTTCCTAAGTGCCTAAGCAGTATCATCCCAATAGTTAATGGAGCTCTTTTCCACCAGCACAGCAGAGAGAAGGCAAACAGACAGACAGACACACTCAGATTTCCCATCCACTGGTTCATTCCCAAATGCCTGTAACCAGGGCTTGGCCAGGTCAAAGCTGGGACCTGGGAACTCCAACTGGGTCTCCTACATGGGTCCCAGGGACTCAGCTACTTGAATACATCACTAGGCTGCCTCCCTGGGTGAACACAAGCAGGAAGCTGGAATCAAAAGCTGGAAGCAGGCATTAAACCCAGGCACACACAGATGGGATGCAGGAGTACCAAGTGCTATCTTAACCACTGCGCCAAACACTCATCCACGATCATCTCTGTACCAGGTAACCATAGCAGCCTTTCTGTTCCACTCATGCTCCAGGTCAGAATCTATTTCCAGCTCACAACTTTCAGGATGATTCCACATTCCTTAGCAAAGTAATATAACTAGCCACCAGTCCACCTTTCCAGTCTTCTGCCAATCCACTCATTCAATCAACAAATAGTGAGTGTCTAAAAGTGTGACACACTGGGGCCGGCCCTGTGGTGTAGCGGGTAAATCCACTGCCTACAGTGCCGGCATCCCACATGGGTGCCAGTTTGAGTTCCAGCTGCCCCACTTCCAATTCAGCTCTCTGCTGATGGCCTGGGAAAGCAGTAGAGGATGGCCCAAGTCCTTGCGCCCCTGCACCCATGTTGGAGACCCAGAAAAAGCTTATGGCTCCTGGCTCCAGATTGGCTCAGCTCCAGCCATTGTGGCCATTTGAGGAGTGAACCAGCAGATGGAAGATCTCTTGCTCTCTGCCTCTGTAACTCTGCCTTTCAAATAAATAAATAAATGTTTAAAAAAAAATTGTGACACACTGTAATAGGCATTTAGAAAACATCTCTGAAAAATCAGGAAAAAAAAATCTCTGCTCTTGTAGTACTTTTTTTTTCTTTCTTTCAGGGGATGGGGGCAAAAGAGTTAAGTAGGAAGAAACACAAACAGTAGGTTAATTATGGAGAGTATTAGAAAGTGCAAATGCTATGGAAAAAGAAAACAGAGCACGGTGGAGAAATCTGGGTGACGGTATATTAAAGACTACAGTAGGGGAAGGTTCCCTGAGCAGCTGACATGTGAGCAATGACATCAACTTAATGTCCTTCCACGGCCTCCTCACAAGCCTTGAATCTAGCGCAGATTTCGCTATCAAATATTTCCCAGTGTCCCTTGTCTCAGTCAGCTTTTCGTAAGCTTTTTTTTTTTTTTTTTTTTTTTTGACAGGCAGAGTGGACAGTGAGAGAGAGAGACAGAGAGAAAGGTCTTCCTTTGCCGTTGGTTCACCCTCCAATGGCTGCCGCGGCTGGCGCACCGCGCTGATCCGATGGCAGGAGCCAGGCACTTATCCTGGTCTCCCATGGGGTGCAGGGCCCAAGTACTTGGGCCATCCTCCACTGCACTCCCTGGCCACAGCAGAGAGCTGGCCTGGAAGAGGGGCAACCGGGACAGAATCCGGCACCCCGACTGGGACTAGAACCCGGTGTGCCGGCGCCGCAAGGCGGAGGATTAGCCTAGTGAGCCATGGCGCCAGCCTTTCGTAAGCTTTTTTCAGTACCACTTGCCTCCTACTCATTTTAAGTATGGGTTTATGCAGCTGGAATACTTCTCCTCTTGTTGTTGAGAATGCAAGACTCGCTTCCTGTTTGTGTCAACAGATGTGTCCACTGACTTACTGGAGAAGGGTGTTTAGGGCTGGCTCTAGAAGCTTGCTCTGGCAAGTGGAAAACGATGGCAGTGATGAACAGAATGCTGGGTTCTCCAGATAGTTACCTAGCAGCTCACCTGTTTGATGATGTATGTTAGCTCCTCAATTTCCACTGCTTTATCATCAAAGAGGGACTTGCGCTTTGCCACTACAGAGATAAACAAGAAGCCACGGTGGGTGAGAACAAAGGCAAGGCTCAGGGGGCTGGCTCCTCTGCCCTCTTTGGTTCATCCCACAACCAGTAAAAGATCCCATGAATACTTACGGATTGTCAGCTTCTCCAGCTTGGCAAATGTGTTGCTGAGGTCTTTCCCGATGCGCCTGCAAATGACCAACAGTGAGAACACCATGGAAGGGGGAGGGAGAGGGCTTATTCTCACACTAGCTCTTAGCACAGCCAATCCCAGCCCTTACAGCCAAGTCACCAAAAGCAAGCTTCCTTCCAGACACTGTATCACCCTGCCACAAAGCTGCTCTCAACTCACTTGGCCATGAGGGTGAATTCACTGCGCTGTCGGACAGCACGCAGGGCCGGCTTATTTGTCTGGATTCCATTCTGAAAAGCAATGTCCGGAGGTGAAAACTTCACTTTCCTCCTCCCCACTTCCAGCTTTCAACGTTTCTCGGGCTCCCCCCAAGCTCTCTCTCGCGCTCCCCCCAAGCTCTCTCCAGTTCTGCTGGCCTAGATTTATCAGCAATAGTGTTCAGAAGCCAGATCTGAAGACGGGCAGGCTTAAGCTCAAGTCTGGACTCTACCACTAATTAGCAGAATTAGCGCAAGTTAAACTCTTCTACATCTGTTTCCTCTCCCTGAAGATGAAGACAATCCACTCACCTCTGATAGTTGCTGCCAAAACTAGATAACATAAAGGCTGTAAAGGATTTTAACCAACCACCTGCGGCACTAAAGAAAGATCCCTCACATCGGCATCAAAGAGGAGAACCCGAAAGCTCTTGGAGACCATAGAGAAGAGAAGTTCGTCAACAAGAGCTGAACAATAAAAATATTTTAAAATACTTACTCAGGTCCCACTTAGTGTCAAAATCTGGGGACTTAAACTAGGGACTCTAATTCTTAAACAAACACTCCAAAATGACTTGGATAAAAACGGCCCATCCGGAAAACTTCCTTCTGCTCCCCCACCGTCTCTCTCTGTTTTACAGACTGAAAATTTTAATTTCCCCAGAGTCGCAGAGCAAACTCACGGCAGGACCACACTGCAAGCACAATTCAAGGTGCGTGCCCCACAGCGGGTGGCTCTTTCTAGGTTTATTCCTTATCCAAAAACCCTGCAGCCCTTTAGGCATTCCATCAATCTGACCCTCCGGGGAACTTCTTCCCAAGCCCACGTGTCCCTGATGGTGGGGAGCAGACCTGCCCGGATGTGGGCGAGGCTCCCACTCTGGGCCTTACCTGACGACTCTGCAGCGACTTGCAGGCGGACAGGAACTCCTGGGTCCGATCCCGGCAGGACATGGTGTCGGGAGGGGAGGGGGCCGGGGCCACTGGGGGGGGCAGAGGGGCGATGTCGCTGCTGCTACTGCCAGCAGTTGCAGGGGACAGGACCTGTGTCTTCGAGAGACCCAGGTAGACGCCCTGATCCGTGTTCTTAGACCCGTAGCGTTTCCGCGGGATCATTGAGACGCATAACCTCTGTCGTGGAGGGGAGAGAGTCATTCCCCAAGCAGTGCAAACGCCTTCCCCACAAACGCCCCTCCAACCAGCAAATCCTGGGCCACCCGCAGACCCCGGGGCCGGCGCGCAGCGGGAAGGGCCCCACCTCCTCCGGGCCCGGGTCGAACCCTCCTCAGACTCTTCCAACTCGGCTCCGGCGGCCAGAGCGCGGGTAGGGGGCCCCGAGGCGGAGCCAGAGCCAGGTCCCGAGGCCCTGAGGCTCCAGCCCGGCCTGTGCAACTGCCCCAGCCCCTAACTGGGCCCCCGCATAGCCGTGGTTGCCTCTGACCCTTCGGGAAGAAACGGTGACGGACCTCCTGCGGGGGGACACACTTCGGTGGGCGGAGAGGGAACCTCTAGGTGTTTATTTGAAACAGGAAGTCCCACCCCTGCCAAAGTCCCGCCTCCTGAAGGACTGCGCCACTCATTAGCTAACGCCGACGTCTTTCTCAACAGAGGCTTTCCTGATTGGACGTCGTGGTATTCGCTCACCCGGAGCCGGGCCGGCAGGACTTGCCCGCTCGTTCCCGGCTCCCTTCCCCCGCCCGTCGCTACCCCGGTGAAGTCGCTGCCCAGGAGCTACACGGCGGCCAGACGCCCTCAGGACGAATCCTACCTCCTGTCTGCCGCCTGCCGCCGCAGCTACTGCCACAGCCTCCCGGACCGTCACCGCCTCCTCCCCGGGCTCTGAAGCCGCCGAAATCCGACCGAAACCTAGGGTCCGCCACGTCACCCACACGTAACCCCACCCCCGTGACGGGAAGGCAGCGCCACGCCTTTTCGAGCCCGGCGACCTGGGAGGCACGCCCCCCGCCCAGACGCAAGCGTGGCTCCCCCCTCCCATTGGCCGGGCCGCCGCCGTAGCCCCGCCCCGGGACGGAGCCTTAAAGAGCCCGCCGCCTCCGGGGCCCCTGAGCCCACAGCCCACGGAGCGGGCTGCAGAGGGTACGAGTCATCTGGCGGGTCCACGTTAGAAATTTTATTCTCTGAGGGCTGCGGCGGACTGACAGCAGGGCTGGGGTCACCCCTTCTCCGGCTCTTCCTGGCTTTCCTCAGGTTTGTCTTCCGGGATCGGACTCTCCCTCTTCTGGATCTGCTCTGACTGCCTCTTGCCGGACCGCGAGGAGCCCCGGCGGCTGAACAGGGATAGCCGCCGCCACAGCACGGTGATCAGAAGGCTTTCGTTCGACTTGCGATTCCGGTGGCCAGGGGAGTCCAAATCGATTCCGTGGGCGCCTGCAGGGACGAGGCCGCTGAAATCACCTCTACCCTCCGGGGCCGGACCTCCGGGGCTCTCCCCCGGGGCAGCGCCTTCCCCAGCCTCCGGGCCCTCACCGCCCCTGGTCCTACCTTCCCCAGCTCCCTCGAACTCTTTGGCCTGCTCATCGGTGGTCGGAAAGTCCTTGTCTTGGCAGCAGCCCATGGCCCCGCACGGCCCCTGACTCCGTACCACCCACGCCAGCCTGCCTGGCTCCAGGCCCGGCTTTTGTGACGTCAGATATCCCACTGCCCCAGCGCAGGGAGCCCCCACAAGCCACCCCTCTCCTCCCATCACAAAAGGCTCAGGGTCATGCGGGTATTGAGCTGTTTATTTACAAAACGGGCACAGGGTCTTCAAGGGCTGGTGGAGCCAGCGCGCTTCTTTTTTCTCCGTCTGCTTTGGAGAGCCCCTTGCGCCGGCTCCGAATCAGGGAGTTTGCGCTTGGCAGCTGCCTCCAAAGATGCCCAAAGTTCATCCGTCTCCCTGTCTTCTGAGGGCAGCTCACCGGGCTCTTGAGGCTCTTGGGGTTCATCCTGGTGAGTGGGAACGAAGTGCAGGGTCAGAGGCACAGTGACAGACCCCGGGAAGGAAGCCCTGCCTGGGAGGCAATTCCCCTGAGCATCAGCACCTTTGTCATTTTCCCAGCAACCACTGCTGTCCAAGCTCCTGGAGATGCCACGCTTGGCAGTCACCCTGTCAGAACTTCAGCTGTTCACACCCCAGGAAAATGTAGTAACTGGGCAGCCCCCTGTGTGTTCCAGCTGCCTCTCTCTGTCCTCGGCTGCCATGTTCCCAGACCCAGCTGCTTACCTCCCAGTTATCCCTGCCTGACAGGAGCAGGCAGTTCAGTCGAGACTTGAGATAAACCTGCAAAGGAGGAAAGGCCTTGAGGAGCCCTGGCCTGAGGCAGAGACAGGAATGGGGCACAGAATGCAGGGGCTCCAAGACAGAGTTAGGGGTGAGGTCAGGGGACTGGGCTCTCACCTTGTGCTCCAGGCCTCGAGGATTCCGGATCCTGTGTATCCTTAAGACTCTGTCCAAGCCACAGGAGGCCAGTAAGGGTTTTGAAGGGTGGCACTGCAACCCCCGAACACTGCCCGCCAGTCCCTTGAGACAGCCCAGCAGGCGCCCTGGAGAAGCGGGGAGCATCAGGGCTAGCTGGCCAGTACTGTTCGGATCACTTCACATTGTAACATCTCACGTTCACTACCCTGCGGCAGGAGTTAGCTGTACTTCCATTTTACATGTGAAGAAACCAGGGCACAGGGAGGTGAAGTAACTATTCCAAGGTCATACAGCTTTCAGTGAAATCAAGCCTTGACTTCAGGCCCAAAGCTCCCCAACAGCAGCCCGGAGGGAGGCCTGCCTTTGTCCCCGTCCCGTCCCTTCTCCCGACACCTCCCAGGACACTGACCTTGCCGCAAGTCGATTTCCGCCAGCTGCCCGTGAGTGTTTCCCACAATCACAGAACTGAGGAGACCAAAGACAGGTGGGTCAGCAGCAACCGCCTGAGCTCCTGCCAAGCCCCACCGCTTCCCCTCTAGACACTCACTTGCCCTCAGGAGTGAGGGTCATGGCTGTCAGCGGGTACTCTCCATAGGTGGTCTCCAGGACTGGCCGGCGCTGGGGGGAGGCTGGGTCGTAGACACGGACCTTGAGGAAGACTGAGACATCACAAGTGCACCCTCACCCCGCTCACTGCCCTTGAGTCTCTCTCTATCTGCACCTCCTCTGAGGGACGTGCTTTCTTGTTGATGTCCCTCTCACAGGGAACTCTGATGGGAAATGTGTGCCTTTTCTCTGAGTGTCCGCGCATCGGGGAGAGCCGCTTAGAAGCATCAGTGGACGGGGCGAGAGAAGTTCCCAGGTTTGGGGTGTGTGAACATTGGTATCCTTGTATTAACAAGTCTACAAAATTCAGAGGGCACTGAACTGCAAGCAGAGAAGTGTAGCCTGAACACGGGAGGAAGCGTGAATATGTGAGCAGAGATGTTATCGCCAGCATCTGCCTTCAGTGTGCAGAAGCAAAAAAGACAGCACACACAGCGACCAGCCCAGCCTGTCCCAGGACTTTCAACAACAGAAGCCAGCTGAGGTCAAAGCAGGGAGGGACCAGCCTGGGTCTCAAAGCAAATAAGAGAGGCTGTATCCAGACCAGCCCAATGTCTGCTCATGACACCTGCACCCTGGCAATCCCCCTGGGAAGGGAGTGCTTCCTGTCTTATGTGTGGGAGGGGAAGGAAATGCCACAGTTCAGGAAACCCCATCCTAAAATGCAGTAAGGAAGTCACAGGCTCAGGGACAGAAACATTTTCCCTGAGAACTCATGAGGGAAGGACGATGGTGAAAAGGAGGCTGTGCACTCCACAGGGCCAGTTCTGCACAGGGAAGCTGCTCTGTTACCCACGAGGAGGTGGGGCTGAGTGGGACTTTACCTGGTGGTAGCCTGTGCAAGTGACAAGCTTCTGTGACCCAGGGAGGAACTGTATGTCCTGGTCCCAGATGGGAACACGCAGGTCAAGCCAGTCATTCCGTACCTGGTGGAAGGGGCAGCCGGGGTCAGGGCTGTGGGAAGCACGGAAGCCCCTTCCTGCAGCCCTCCTTGATTGCCCCTGAGCCCATCTGGTCTGACTCAGAGTCACTGTCTAGGCCCCCCAGGGCCTCAGGGGCAGCCCATCCCTGCCCGTCACTCACTCACATTCTTGGCCCTGAACACGGGTTCCTCAGACCCCTGCAGGTCCCACACCTTCAGAGCATTCTCCTTCCCACCTGTGGCAACCACATGGGGGCGTGCTGGGTCTTGGCGCATCCTACACAGCCCAGGGCCCACCCTCAGTTCCAGGAGCTGAAAACAATGGAAGATGAGCATTACTTCCAGGGTCCTTAATCCTCCTGCCCCCAAAGCCCTCAGTAGGCTCCTCCCCAGCCCCACCTTCCTCAACCATCGGGCAAGGGGGCTTCACCGGGTCAGAGGGGGCCTCCTTGTCGTTGTCACGCCACACTCTGAGGATCCCAGAATCCACACATGTGATGAGGGTGCTGCAGAGGGAGGGTACAGTTTGGATCTGTAAAGTGTGAAAGTGTCCTCTAGGCCTCAGCCAACACTCACCCCAAACTCATCCTCACTAGACTCCTTCCCAACAGCCCACTCTGTAAGGAAGCTTCTAGGTTCCTGGGTTTAAGTGGGGCTGACAGCTTCTAGCTTCCTATGAACTCATTCAATTTACTCAGCATGGTGAGGGTTTACCAGTTTTATAAGTGAGGAAATGGCACCTCTGAGAAATGAAGATAATCCACACAGGGGTCAGCATCTGATCTTGGAGTTAAGACACCAGTTAAGGGCCAGCACTGTAGCATAGCGGGTAAGGCTGCTACCTGCCGTGCTGGAATCCATATGGGCATTGGTTCGAGTCCCAGCTTCTCCACTTCTGATCTAGCGCTCTAGATCCAGCTCTCTCTTTCCTATGGCCTGGGAAAGCAGTAGAAGATGGCCCAAGTCCTTGGGCCCCCGCGCCTGTGTGGGAGACCCGGAAGAAGCTCCTGGCTCCTGGCTTCAGACCAGCCCAGCTTCCAATGTTGCAGCCATTTGGGGAGTGAACCAGTGGATGGAAGATATCTCTCTCTCTGCCTCTCTGTAACTCTTCCTTTCGAATAAATAAATAAATCTTAAAAAAAAAAAAGTTTGTGGACTCAAAAGTCTTTCATACCATAGCCTAGGCAGCTCATTTCGAAAGCCTAAAAGAGTGTTAATTGTTAAATTAACAAGAGTCACCATGCAATAACTTCCCATGCAGGACCTCTGTCCTCAATAAGCTGTATTGAGTTAACTGTAAAACCAGTTCTCAGGTTGTGTGTGTGTGTGTGTGCAAATTGTTGAAACCTTTACTTAGAATAGAGTTGGTCTTCTGTGTACAAAGTTAACTGAAAATGAATCTTAATGGAGAATGGGACTGGCAAGGGGAGAGGGAGGAGGAAGAGGGGTGGGAGTGTGGGTTGGAGGACGGGTATGGTGGGAAGAATAACAATATTCCTCAAGTTGCACTTATGAAATTTGTATTCCTTCAAAAATAAATTAAAAAACTAAATGATTTATTTTTTGAATTAACCAACTCAACTCGGAATGTTTGGTTTACAGGTACTGCTCACTGTTCTCAAATTTCTGGGTCAGCCCACCCCATTTATTTATTTATTTATTTAATTTTTTATTTATTTAACAGGTAGAATTATAGACAGTGAGAGAGACAGAGAGAAAGGTCTTCCTTCCATTGGTTCACTCCCCAAATGGCCGCTAATGGCCAGCGCTGCGCCGATCCGAAGCCAGGAGCTAGGTGCTTCTCCCTGGGTCTCCCAATGGGGGTGCAGGGGCCAAGCTCTTGGGCCATCCTCCACTGCCCTCCTGGGCTACAGCTGAGAGCTGGACTGGAAGAGGAGCAACCGGGACTAGAAACCGGCGCCCATATGGGATGCTGGTGCTGCAGGCAGAGGATTAACCAAGTGAGCCACGGCGCCAGCCCCGAAATGATGTTTTATTAAAAAAATAAATAAATAAAATAAAAAATAAAAAAAGAGATGCCAGTTAAGACAATTGTGTCCCCTGGTGCTGGCACTGTGGTGTAGTGGGTAAAACTGCCTCCTGCAGTGCCGGCATCCCATAGGAGCACTGGTTCGAATCCCGGCTGCTCCACTTCTGATCCAGCTCTCTGCTATGGCCTGGGAACGCAGTGGAAGGTGCCCCGACTCCTGGGCTCCTGCACCCACGTGGGAGACCTGGAAGAAGCTCCTGGTTTCGGATTAGCAGAGCTCTGGCCATTGCAGCCATTTGGGAAGTGAACTAGTGGATGGAAGACCCCTCTCTCTCTCTCTCTGCAACTCTGCCTTTCAAAGAAAATAAATAAATCTTAAAAAAAAAAAAAAAAAAAAAAAAGACACTTGTATCCCATATCAGAGTCCCTGGATTTGATGCCTGGCTCTATCTAGTTCCTGATTCCAGTTTCTGCTGGTGCAGGCCATGGAAGGCACCAGGTGACAGCTCAAACAACTGAGCTCCTGGATTAAGGTCTCCCATGTGGGTGCCAGGGATCCATCTACTTGTAATCACCTGCTGCCTCCCAGGGTCCACAGTAGTAAGAAGCTGAAGGTGGAGCCAGGACTTGAACACAGGCACTCTGACATGGGATCCGGGTGTCTCAAGTGGAGTCTTAAGCACTGTGCCAAACAACCCACCTGTTGAGTCAATTACCAGGAGTCAAGACCAGTAGCCCTGAAGGGATGCGAGTGGGACTGCGCTGGGTCAAAGTCAGGCGCTAGCTTCCTCTCTTGAGTTCTTTGTTCTGGTTTCAAGCCTGAATGCTCGTCTCTCATTCAATACACTCCTCTCAAGAAGCCCCAGGTAGTCTCTCCCCAGGAAGTCTCTCCCCAGGACCTGTATGCTCTTTCTCACATCCGTCCACCGTCTCCGTCTGAGTTCAGGCTCTGTTATCGCTCACCTGGGCTGTGGCAACAGTCCCCCAACTGCTCTGTCATCAATGCATCCCGCACACTCCTACAGGCTCATGGTTCCAACAGGAGCACTCCCAGCTCCAAACCCATTACCTATCCTCCACCTACAAAACTGAAGCACAGTTCTCTTACAGCCCTTTACATTTAGTTTCAAGAGACTACCACACCCATCTATGTCAAACTGCTCCCTGTGGCCAGCACTGTGGTGCAGTGGGTTCAGCCAGTGCCTGTGCCACCAGCCTTCCATCCGAGCGCTGGTTCGAGTACCAGCTGCTCTACTTCCAATCCAGCTCCCTGCTAATGCAGCTGGGAAAGCACTGGAAGAGGTTCCAGGTGCTTGAGTCCCCGTCACCCAGGAAGACCTGGAAGGAGGTCTGGGCCCTCATGGCTACTAGGGGAGTAAACCAACTGAGGGAAGATTTCTATGTCTCCATGTAACTCTACCTTTCAAGTAATAAACCATCAAAAGCTAAGTAAAATAAACTGCTTCTTTAACTTTCAACCTCCTAATGACATTTATCTCATGTATGGATCCTGCAGCCTGCCACCAGTCCTCGGGCTCGGCCCAGGCAGTACCCTTCCTCTAGAATGCCCTCCACCCTTTGTGAACTTGCAAAACTGTACCTATTCTTCAAGATGTAGCTCAAAATCCTGTCCCCCGCGTAGCCCTTGCAGACCTCCCTGTCAGCATTAACCCCACCAAATCTACGCAGCCTGTCCATGCACGGCTTGCTTTCATCACCTTTTGGAGAAGAGATGGGTCAGTAACCCAGTCACCAGCACCTTCGTTTCCTTTCCTTTGGGCTCCTCACCGCCTTGGTGGTTGTCAGTGCCCACTAAAAGCATGCTCGAAATGACTAAAGGTCTGTCCGCGAGGTTATAATGGAGCCCGAAGGAAAATCCTGGGGGATGCGAACTTAGGAGGCAGAAACGTCACCTGCAGTCCTTGCATCCTGCCCAGTGCCTGAAACTTAGCAGGTGTTCAGTAGACGTATACAGTTACAGGAACTGAACGAAGGAGGAATCCAGCCCGTTACCCACCCCAGGCTCTCGTCCGCCGTCCCCCAGGCAGCCTCAACACGCCCCCCAGGACCTGAGTTTCAGCAAGAAGACTGGTCTTACTCGTCGGCCCGGGCGAGGCCCCGGAACGCGCCCTCCCCGCCGGGGCAGTGCCTCTGTCCCTGGAATACTCCTTCCTCGGTACCGAAGCGCTTCACCGTCCCGTCCGCGCACCCCACCAGGATCTGTGTGCAGAGGAGGGCGGGGAGTCAAGGAGGGCGAGGCTGCTGCACCTCGGCTCCCCAGGCTCCAGTCCGGCCCGCGGCGACTCACTTGGGTCTCGCCGCCCGCGCCCCAGCACAGGACGCTCACTGCCTCCTCGCGCCGCGGCTGTCCCGCGGCCGTGAAGTTCGTCGCCTGTTTTCGCTGAAGGTTCACCCCTGCGGGACGAGGACGTCAGTCGCACGAGCAGGCGACACCCGCAGTCCGCGACCCCCGACCCCAACACCCACCTTTCAGGATCCCAGTCTCGGTGCCGACCCACACATGGTTCCAACGAGCCACCGCAGCCGCCATGACAGAGCCGGGAAGCTGTCGGGTCGCACTTCCGGCGCGGTGCTTGCGTCACCAGAGCGCGCCCGGTGTCATCCGTCTTCCTGCGGTGGCCGGCAGCTTAAAGCGCTTCCGGAAGCAGGAGGTGTATGGAAATCGGGAGAGGAATTTGGACTTTTTGCACTTGTAGTGGAACGCATCGTCACTGATGGCGATGCCGGGGGCAGCCAGCCCAAGCCCAACTCCGTGCCCCGTCAACTAATACTACGTGTTCCGTTCTGTTAGACAAGAGCCACCGCAGAAACCATTGAAATCATTAAGGTGCGTAAGTGGCTTCATTTATGAGCGTAAACAAAACAAAAAAGGCGGGAAAAGTGAAGCCGAGGGCCCTGAGACAGCTCTGTCGCACAGTGGAGTTAGTTCCTCTCATCCAGGCTCCGTAATGCTAAAAATCAGCTCAAATTTGGAACAGAAGCAGATTCCCCCCAGGATACACTGCAGTACGTCCTTAGCGACCGAGCGGCTCCCTCGAGGGACGACGCTTAAACGTGGCTCTGAAATCGGTTACCCCCAACTTTGCTGTTTGGGTGAGGCATCCCATGCTTGAGAAGCAAGCTTAGCTTCCAGTCCGACTCCAGCGCTCAGCGAGTAAAAGCCACGGCCTGCAGTGCGCCAGGCCCGCATCCCGAAGGGGCCCCGCTCGGAGGCCCAGGTCCCTGCTGATGCGCCCAGCAGGCAGCGGAGGCTGGTCCGAGTGCCTGGGACGCTGCACCAACCTGGGAGACCGGGAGGAGCTCCTGGCTTCGGCCTGGTCCAGCCTCGGTCGTTGGGCTACTGAGGAGTGAGCCAGCAGATGGAAGGTCTCTGTTTCTCAAATGTTTAAAAAAGTACCTGGCTCCTGCCTTCGGATCAGCGCAGTGTGCCGGCCGCGGCGGCCATTGGAGGGTGAACCAACGGCAAAGGAAGACCTTCCTCTCTGTCTCTCTCACTGTCCACTCTGCCTGTCAAAAAAAAAAAAAAAAAATTACTTATTTGAAAGAATTACATAAGAGAAAGCCATCTGTGGTCCGCTGTCTCACTCCCCAAATGGCTCCAAGGCTGGGCCGACCTAGAATTAAATAGGAGGGGCCGGTGCTCTGGGCGCTGGTTCGAGACCCGGGTGCTCCACTTTCGATCCAGCTCTCTGCTATGGCCTGGGAAAGCAGTAGAAGGTGGACCAATTGCTTGGGCCTCTGCACCCGCATGGGAGACCCGGAAGAAGCTCCAGGCTTCGCTTCGGCGCAGCTCTGGCCATTGCAGCCAACTGGGGAGTGACCCAGCGGATAGAAGACCTCTCTCTCCCTGCCTGTCCTCTCTCTGTAACTCTGACTTTCGAATAAATGATAAATATTTAAGAAATAATTAAATAGGAGCCAGCAGCTTCTTGGTGCTCTCCCACGGGGTTGGCAAGAGCCCAAGTACTTTGGCATCTAACACTGGTATCCGCGACTCATTAGCGAAGAACACTGCACTACTGTGTTCTGAGATGTGTCAGAGCAGTGCACCCGAGCACCAAAACACGGTATTCATTTCCAAATCCAGAAAACACTAGAAATCACAGAAATTGTAAGTCTATTATTCAACCAATATTGTTCCCCCAAAGGGGGTGCACCGCTCCTGGAAGTACTGCAATACCAGGCCGATGCGTGGAATGGACGGAGCAAGCTCCTATTCCATCTCCTAGTCCCAAAAATCCATTTAATATATTGTCCTCGGATAGAGGACGTATCAGATATTAAACTGATAAGAACAGATACTACACTTGATCTTAGCCAAAAGGCCGAGAAGCGATACTGTGGTAACCGATTGCTAGGCAGCCCTACCTTTCCTGCAACTAATTCAGTTGTGATGATTTTCATAGCGAAAAGATTAAATTATATTTTGCTACGGAGTCTCTTAAAATAAAATTTTCATTATTTTTAACTCATAACAGGAACGATATGTTTGAAAAAAGACATTAAATAAAGTCCTTTATCGCTTCGCCAGCGGGTTTGCTGCTCAGATTATTTTGCATATCCCCGCCCCCTCCGCGTTTTTACATTCTCGGGATTGGTCGTCATGCCAGTCGCGACTTCATTGCGCGCATGTAGCCTTTTTCTCCCAGATGGTGGCGTTGGTCTCCCCAGGGGCGCCCGGCGGCGCGCCCTATGGCGCGGCCCCTCTCCCGGGATCTGTAAGCTCCGCACCGGAGCACGGGCTGGGATCCCCGCTCGCCACTTCCTGACTTGGTGACCTGGGCCTTGTTTCTTGGGCTCTTGGGCTCTGCTGAGTGGGGGTTGGAGCACGGGCTCTCAGGGGGTTGTCAGAACTGAGGACCCCGGGGCGAGGCGTCCGCCTCCGCCGGCCCAGAGCTGCCTGGGGAGCTGCGCCTTGTGCCGGACCCGTCTCTTCCCAGGGCGCCCGCCGCTGACCTGGAGCTCCCGCCCCGACCCCGCCCCTGGCTGCCGTGCAGGTCACAAAGCGAGAGAGGTCCCGAGTTCTTAGAGGCCAGACCAGAGGTGCCAGACAGGAGGGGAGGGCCCAGCCGCGACGTCCCCGACCCTGGAGCCCCCTAACTCAGCGCTGGGCTTGGATGAGGGATGCAAGCGTAGGTACACTTCATTGAAGCAGTTTTCAAAAAATCACTCAAAAGCAAAGCTTAGTTGTTTGCAGAGGGTTAATATCAAGCCAGCCGGGGCTCAGAAAGGACATCAGGCCCTGTTCCCTTGGAAACTGAATTCATATACATGTGGAGCTCAGCCTCGCTTGGAAATGGAGATCCTGTCGTGTAGAGCCCCATCTGCGAGTTCACTTCCCAAAAGCTTGGCATGGCCAGGATTTGTCAGACAGAAGCCAGGAGCCCAGAACTCAATCCAAGTCTCCCGCGTGACTGGCAGGGACCCAAGTACTTGAGCCATCATTCATCACTGGCTGTCTTCCAGGACGCACGCTGGGAAGCTGGGACTGAACCAGACACTCCAACATAGGAGGCTGGCTCCTAAGAGGATGCCTAACCCGCTGGTCCCCAGCACCTGCCTGGTGTGCAAACTTATACTTCTTGACACCAGCAACCTGAAAGTGTAGATTATCAGACACTTTGCAGTTGCAGTCCTATCGTGAGAACCTGGCCCCTCATAACCTCTCATCCTTGCCTGGTGAACTTGGGCCACATTGTGGCTTTGATGCAGACAGGCTCGCTTGCTTGCTCTCTCCCCCTCCCTCTCCAAAAGAAAAAAAAAATGTTCTAAAGAAATTAATACAAGGACAAAGGCAAAATTCAGTTTCTTTCAATTCCAACCTTTACCAGGTTCTGCAAGGCTCCCTGGCAGATGGGACTTTATTTTTTATTTTTATTTTTTTATTTTTATTTTTTTTATTTTTTGACAGGCAGAGTGGACAGTGAGAGAGAGAGAGACAGAGGAGAGAAAGGTCTTCCTTTGCCGTTGGTTCACCCTCCAATGGCCGCCGCGGCTGGCGCGCTGCGGCCGGCACACCGCGCTGATCCGATGGCAGGAGCCAGGAGCCAGGTGCTTTTCCTGGTCTCCCATGGGGTGCAGGGCCCAAGCACCTGGGCCATCCTCCACTGCACTCCCTGGCCACAGCAGAGAGCTGGCCTGGAAGAGGGGCAACCGGGACAGAATCCGGTGCCCCAACCGGGACTAGAACCCGGTGTGCCAGCGCCGCAAGGTGGAGGATTAGCCTAGTGAGCCGCGGCGCCGGCCTTATTTTTTATTTTTTTTAACCTGCGTGCTGGGATGCTGGCACCGCAGGCTGAGGCTTCAACCCACTGAGCAACAGTGCCAGCCCTGGCACTTCATTCCTTCTGTCCCAGCTACAGCCAGGTGTGCAGGAGGTGGGTGAAAGTGACTTCTAGTCCAGGAGCACAGGCAGTTCTCCAGCAGCCAGCACTTCCCCTCTTCCTCCTCACAGCAAAGGGGAGCAAGGAGATGCTACCCCTGCTTCTCACTGCCGTGGGACCAGAGGCTGACGGTGAGTCCCATAAGAACCCATATCCATGTGTTTGTGTGTATTGAGCACACGTTGTGCAATGACAAAATCATGTGTGGACTTGCCCTCATGATGTTTATAGTCTACTGGGGGAAACCTGGAGAAGATCCCTGGGCTCCCCCAGGCAGGAGATGACAGGGCGGCTGTGGTAGCAAGATGGAGAGAAAAGGAAGCGCTCACAGAGACTCACTGGCTTGGATGAGAGGTGAAGAGAGCCCGGGGAAGAACAGTCTTTCCATGGGAGTACACTTCCATTGTTAAATGCATGGAGCCAGTGTTGTGGTGTAGCGGGTTGGGCCACCACCTGTGATGCTGACGTCTCATACGGGAGCCACCTGAAGTCCTGGCTGCTCCACTTCCCGTCTAGCTTCCTGCTAGTGTACCCCAGTACTTGGGCTTCTGCACCGGTGTGGGAGACCCGGATAAAGCTCCTGTTGCTGGCTTCTGCCTGGGCCAGTGCTGGCTGTTTCCACCATTTGGTGAGTGAACCAGTGGATGGAAGATCTCTCTATATATATAACTCTGTCTTTCAAATAAATACATAGGGGTGGTGCTGTGGCGTAGTGGGTAAAGCCGCTGCCTGTAGAGCTGCCATCCCTTATGGGCACTGGTTCTAGTCCTGGCTGTTCCTCTTCTGATCCAGCTCTCTGCGATGGCCTGGAAAAGCAGTAGAAGATGGCTCAAGTCCTTGAGCCCCTGCACCCACATGGGAGACCCGGAAGAAGCTCCTGGCTCCTGAATTCGGATCCACCCAGCTCCAGCTTTTGCGGTCATTTGGGGAGTGAACTAGTGGAAGACCTCTCACTTTCTCTGCCTCTGCCTCTCCGTAACTCTGCCTTTAAAGTAAATACATAAATCTTGTAAATAAATACATAAATCTTTTAAAAATTTGTTAAATTCATGGTTTATTTTCGTGAAACTGATATGCCTTAAATTGTCAGGTGGTTGGTTCCTGCTACCCATGTGGGATTCCTGATTTGAGTTCCTGGCTACTGACTTTGGCTCTGCGTGGGCCCTTGTGGGCATTTGGGGAATGGATCAGTGGATGGAGATCCTTTTTGTTTCTCAAATTAATTAACTGAGTTTTAATTTTCTTTTAAAGAGTTATTTGTTTGAAAGGCAGAGATACACAGAGAGGGAGGGAGGGAGGGAGAGAGATCGAGAGATCCACCTACTGCTTCACTCTCCAAATGGCTGCAATGGTTAGGGCTGGGCCAAGCAGAAGCCAGGAGCCGGGAAATCCATCATGATCTTCCATGTCGGTGCAGTGCTCACACGGAATGCTGGCATTACAATTGATTGTCTTTCAAACCTCCCTTCAATTTTTTTTTTTTTTAAAGACTTCTTTACTTACTTGAAAGGAGAGTTACAGAGTGGCAGAGGGGAGAGAAAGAGAGCGAGCGAGTGAGCTCTTCCATCCACTGGTTCACTCCCAAAATGGCCACAATGGTTGAGGCTGAACCAGGCTAAAGCCAGGAGCCTGGAGCTTCTTCTGTGTGTCTCCAATATGGGTGCAGGAATCCAAGCACTTGGTCTATCTTCTGTTGTATCCCCAGGCCTTTAGCAGGGAGCAGGATTGGAAGTGGAGCAGCTGGGACTTGAACCAACACCCATGTGGGATGCCAGCACTGCAGGCGGTGGCTTCACCTGCTATGCTATAGAACTGGCCCTCTCAACCCTTATTTAAAATATATATTTATATAAATATATTATAAATATATGTATTTTTAAAAGAATGACAGAGGGGGAGGGAGAGACAGAAAAAAAGAAAAGGATCTTGTCAGCTGGTTCACTCCCCAAACACCTGTCATGTGGGTGACATGGACCCAAGTACTGGGGCCAGTTTTGTGATGCAGTGGGTTAGACCACCACCTGTGAAGCTGGCATCCCATTTGGTGCTGGTTTGAGTCCCAGGTGCTCCACTTGTGATCCAGCTTCCTGCTAATGTGCCTGGGAAAGCAGCAGAATGTGGTCCAAATGCCTGGACCCCTGCCACCCCTGTGGAAGATGCAGGAGATCCAGGCTCCTGGCTTCTGCCTGGCCCAGACCTGACTGTTGCAGCCATTGGGGGAATGAACCAGCAGATAGAAGGTATCTCTCTCTCCCTCTCTTCTATCTCTGTAAGTCTGTCTTTCAAATGAGTAAAATAAATCTTAAAAACAGGAACCCAAATGTTGGGACCACCATCAGCTCCATTAGCTGGGTCAGAAGCGCAGAGCAGCCAGAGCTGCAGTCAGGCAGTCTAATACGGGATGCTGGCATCCCAGGCCCAGCCCTGGCTGTTGAGCTGGAATGGAAAGCAGAGGTGGAACCCAGACCCAGGCCATCCGATATGGGATGCAGGCTTCTGAAGTCTTAACCACTAGGTCAAATACCCATGCCCAAGATATGCCTTCTTACTGCATCACAGTGTCTTCCTTCCAGCATTTGTTATCAATCTCAGGGTGTCTGAAACTCAGTGCAACTGACATTTTGGGCTGGTAATTCACTGCTTAGGGGCTGAGGCAGAGGGGCTGTCCTGTGCACTCTAGGGTTTAGCAGCATTCCTGGCCAGTTGCCCACCCCTCTACTCCCAAGTTGTGACAACCAAAAATATGGACAGTGCCAAATGAAGGGCAAAATTATCCCTGAGGACCACTGCATTATTTCAAATGACCTTCACTGAATATTGGCTGTCTTGTTTCCTTCCTCTGAGATCTAATCAAACAGCAGTCATGAATGCAAGAGCAAGGCCTTGGCCTCTCTGGGGAATACATGGCTGAGTTTAGAGTTTAGAATGGAGCAGCTTGTTGGTGCTTGTTCTATGTATGTTTGTGTCTATAAAACCTATTTTATTTGAAAGGTACAGTGGCAGAGAGGGAGGCGGAGAGAGGTCTTCCATCTCCCAGTTCACTCCCCAAATGGCCACAGTGGTCAGGGCTTGGCTAGGCTTGAAGCCAGGAGATAGGAAATTTATTTGGGTCTCCTATGTGGGTGGCCGGGGCCCAGGTGCTTGGGCCATCCATCATCTGTTGCTCACCCAGGTACATTCAGAAGGAGTTGGACTAGAAATAGAGCAACTAGGACTCAAATTGGCACTTCCATGTGGGAAGCTGGTGTCACTGGTAGTGGCTTTACCTGCTGTTCAACACCAGCTCCTGGTGCTATTTACTGAGGTGGTCAGATGGTGGTTGGAGATGGAGGCAGTAAACTAAGGAGCTGAAACGGTCAACTGGGCAGTTAGATATGTCAGGAACTTGGAGAGGAGGGCATGCTAGAGACATTATAGTCTGTCATCAGTGTAGAGAAATATGGGGAGGAGCCGGCGCCACAGCTCACTAGGCTAATCCTCCAAATTGCGGCGCCGGCACACCAGGTTCTAGTCCCGGTCGGGGCGCCGGATTCTGTCCCGGTTGCCCCTCTTCCAGGCCAGCTCTCTGCTGTGGCCAGGGAGTGCAGTGGAGGATGGCCCAAGTGCTTGGGCCCTGCACCCCATGGGAGACCAGGAGAAGGACCTGGCTCCTGCCTTCAGATCAGTGCGATGCGCTGGCTGCAGTGCGCTGGCCATGGTGGCCATTGGAGGGTGAACCAACGGCAAAGGGAGACCTTTCTCTCTGTCTCTCTCTCTCACTGTCCACTCTACCTGTCAAAAAAAAAAAAGGGGGGGGGGCAGGCCTCATTCCAGGCTTGTCCTCCATTTCTCCATATTGCCCTGTCTTGGTTCTTAAGATTTGAGAGTCAGAGAGGCAGATGGAGCTCTCCCATCTCCTAGTTTATTCCACATGCCTGCAATAGCTGGGGTTGGACATTGCCAAGAGCCAGGAACTCCATCTGGATGCTTCAGACACATTAGCAGCAAGCTGGATTGGAACCAGAGCAGCTAGGACTCGAACTGGCCTTCTGACATGGGATGCAGGTGTCAAGTGGCAGCCTAACCCACTGAGCCAATCTTCATGTCTTCACATGAAGTCGTTAACTTGTGACTTAATTTTTTAAAATTTGGATTTGTTTTTGCAAATCAGGGGAGTATAGTGGTTCAAGTGAGTGACTACTTAAAGCAAATTTAGCCCCCAAGATAAGATTCCTATTCACCTGGTTTTCCATTTTCCAAGTCTGCTCTAAAAATTTTACTGGGGGCCAGAACTGTAGCATACCAGGTAAAGCTGCCACCTGCAATGCCAACATCCCATATGGGTGCCAGTTTGAGACCTGGCTGCTCCACTTCTGATCCAGCTCCCTGCTATGGCCTGGGGAAGCAGTAGAAGATGGCCCAAGTCCTTGGGACCCTGCACCTGCATGGGAAGACCCAGAGGAAGCTCTTGGCTCCTGGCTTTGGATTGGCACAACTCCAGCCATTGTGGCCAGTTGAAGAGTGAAACTGCAGATGGAAGACCTGTCTGCCTCTCCCTTTTTTTTCTTTTTTTGACAGGCAGAATTAGACAGTGAAAGACACACAGAAAGGTCTTCCTTTTGTCATTGGTTCACCCTCCATGGCTGGCGCATCCTGAGGATCCAAAACCAGGAGCCAGGTGCTTCCTCTTGGAAGCTTGCTCTCCCGGGCCACAGCAGAGAGCTGGCCTGGAAGAGGGGCAACCGGGACAGAATCCGGCGCCCCGACCGGGACTAGAACCCGGTGTGCCGGGGCCGCTAGGTGGAGGATTAGCCTACTGAGCCCTGGTGCTGGCCCTGCCTCTCCTTTCTGTGAACTCTTTCAAGTAAATAAATCTTTAAAAAAAAAATCCCACCAGGTACCCTATTGCAGTTACCAAGGGAGGTCCCACTTCTTAGGGAAATCTTCATACTGGGAATGAGTACTACAAGAACACATGTCCCAGCTACCCCACTCCCAATCCAGCTTCCCAATGGCCTGGTAAACTTCAAAAGATGGCCCAAGGGATTGGGCCCCTGCCACCCAGGACACCAGGCTCCTGGTCCCAGCCTGGTTGAGTGAACCAGTGGATGGATTTAGCTGCAACAAACACCAGGCCTAACTGTGACTGGAACCTCAGCAGGGCTCCTGAGACAGTCCTCTATGAGGTACTTAACTTCTGGCAAGGAGTGAGTGGTTGGGAGTCAGCTCCTGGTGTTTTGGTCACCTTCTAGTGGGCAGTTAACAGCCCAAGTACAGGGGTTACCTGCCACTCAGTGGGAGACTTCCAGAATTCTAGGGTCCTGCCTGGTTCAGCCTCAGCCCAGATTTGGGGAATGAACCAAATGAAAGGTCTGCGCTTCAGATTCTACCTCTCTGCCAACAAATCAGGGATGTGTCATGGCAGTTTATCCACTTCAGTGCCTATTTTCTAGTCCATACTCCTGTTTGAGGTACAGGCAAATCATCCAAACAGAACCTTACTTCCTTGAAGTGAGGCACTCACTCAAGGAAAACCCCCTTAAGGATGCTAGTGAAGCTAGCTGAACAACGCTTCTGTGGGCCAGGATATCTAGCATTAGGCCAACCTCCAGAGTAAGCTAAGCTGGGTTCAGCACCCACTGCATATTTGCAGGACTGATATGTCCAGTGAGACCCACCCAAGACATGAATCACAGTATAGGTCAAGAAGGAAAGCAGCTTTATTAGGAAGGCTGACATGATTGTCTTAGGGATTTGTAGATTTCTGACATCCTGCAATACTTCAGTCCTGCAAAAGGAAAAGAAAAATTTTCTTACTGAAGGCACACATGGATATAAAATGTTATCACTGTGATGTTCTGTGGGTTTACAATGCTATCTCAGTTATCATAAAGCTTGCTTTCTTGACTTATATTTACACACTGAATACATGTATTATAGTCACAAAGCATCCATGGGCATTTCTCTTCTATAGATACCTACCATTACATGCACCTCTTCTTTCTTCAGACCTGGAAAAAAATAAAACCACTTCAGCAGTGCTAGTTATTCCTTTTCTTGTGTGCAGAAACCCTTTATTGTCCCTCAGACAGTTCCTTCTGGAACACACTTTCCTCTTTTCTCCCAGCCAGCCCCAGTGGGTTCACCTTTACAGGCTCTGGGGCTAGGACAGGAAGTAAGACGTGTGAGTGCTTCCTCACTGGGAAATTCTAGTATAGCCCACCTTTATTTAAGGCTGCTTACCAGGAGCTTCAGCCTGGAATTCACCTTCGTTTCCCTGAAAGAGATGAAGAAATGCACATCTGTAAAGGCTACACCAGTTTTTTTGACAGAGTTAGTAAGAGACAGAGTCTCCCATGTGGGTGTAGGGGCCCAAGCACTTGGGCCATCCTCCACTGCCTTTGCAGGCCACAGCAGAGAGCTGGCCTGGAAGAGGAGCAACCAGGACTAGAACCTGTGGTGCCAGCGCTGCAGGCGGAGGATTAGCCTTAGTGAGTGGCAGTGGCACCAGCTGGCTATGTCAGTTTCAAAGCACAATTCAGACAGCACTAAATACTTCCTACAGGCTACGAAGCCTACCCAATCAACTTAGTGTTAGATGAGCTCACAGGTCAGAAAATACCTTTCAGTCACAGTGATCAGACTGGGGCGGTATCAGACTCATCACTAGTGAGCCCAGACTGATTATGGCAGTTCAGACACAAATGGAAAATACAGAAGAGGTATTTACCTGGAATCACTCTGGGCTTCCAAGGTGCTGGACCTGAAACAAATAAGATTGAGCCTGTCACTGTTGCTCACACTCCACATTTGTTCCCACATAAGACACCATTCCTAGAAGTCAGATTTCCGAGTCTCAACAGCAAGCCATCAGCCGAACGAGATTCCAGTAAGTCATCATACATAGTCCAGAAAGGCATTTCTTCTCATCCAATATACTGGACTTACAACACATGTTGGAATTACTCACCTTTGAACCAACAAGCAGGCCAATGGTGACAGCACCTGAAGACAAGACAAGGGTGTGGGTCAAAGGTTCCTTATACACTGGGATCCCCCAGTCCTGTCTTAGCCAGTTTCTCAGGTGTTCATGTGTTTTCATGGTCACTCATAGTGAGCTAGTTTGATTCATCCCAGAAACTGCCTACTTTGCCAGCATAAACCACAGGACAAAAGTCAACTAACCTCTTCACTCTGAAGATTTCTCAGTGGAGCATAGGAACAGGAGGAGGCTGGTAATTAAAAAAAAATTATTGGCACAACATCCAGAGTGGCTTAAAGGTAGCCTAATGTAGCTGATTAGATGACCAGGAAAGCCCAGTTAATGCTATCTGTAAGAATCTGTTGCACCTCAGACAGTTCCTTACAGAACCAGTTCTCATCCCATCTCCCAGTCACCCCAGTGGGTTCACCATTACTGGCTCTGGGATTAAAACAGGGAGTAAGACAGGATGTCTGTTCCTCATTGGCACCAGACCCTGGCAAACTGCAACGTTTAAGTATCACTTTCAATTTCAAGAATTTGACCTTGGATAACAGTGGGCAACTGAGAAATAAGTCAGCTTTACGTCTATCTCCAGCAAGTCTCTGGTACAAGCATCATGATGGTAAACTTTCCCTTCGGATAATGACTTCACATGTTACCAGGTAAAGCAACTTACCAGCAGACAGAAGAATCCGTCAGCACGAGAACCTGGCAAAGGGGAGCAAATAGTTATTTCCAAATGCTACGATGAGACAAGATTTCTTCATGAACAACAACTGCCATCAGAACTCTAACATGCTATTAACTGTCACACTTCACCAAGCGTCAGCTTTATCAGCTCTAATCATCTGACAGTAATGTGGCATGCTGGGTAAAGGAAGAGCACCCCACTGGCGGGGACTCTTCTTCCCCATAAAATCATGTCAAGAGGAACAAGGTGGAAGCAGCAAAACAACGCTACACCAACCACCTGCCCTCCTGATTGCGGAGAACAATTCAGGAGACGACATACTTCAAGCTCCTGGCTTACCTTTGTTCACCTTGGGACGCGTCCAAACTCCCCAGGGCTGGTTATGTGACGCTGCGGATGAGAGGTACTTTATGTTAGCCAAGAACAGTCATTCAAAGACCCTGGAATACCCCCGGCCCACTTCTCAGTAGGAATGTGGCATCACTTCCTTGTTCAGCCATATGCTTGTCATTCTACGTTCGTTCATCATGGAGTGGCCAACCAGAAAATGTCCCTCCCTGTAACACAAGCCAAGGACGCCCACCTGGAGCCTCGCGGTACGGCCAGCGCTGCAGAGGGTGAAGGGGCAGCCTCCATCGTCGACCCGGCAGGTCCCCGATCCGAGCAACATCTGAAGAGAGACCATTCGGTCACACCCAGAACGGGGCGGGGGGCCCCAGCCACCCGCTACAAACAGTGCTGCTCAGAATTTGCATTTTCTCCACTAGCCCCTCAGCAAGAGAGAGTTCAAGTGTCGCAATCATCCCCGTAGCAGTTGATCAGAGAGGTTTCAGAAGGCCGGAGAACACTCACGCTCAGTAACGGCGCTCCCTCCGTTTGCTCAAACGCGCCCAGGTCCTGCAGGGGAGACTGAGTTAGAGCCGCGCATCTGGGCACGCTGTCCCCGACGCGGCGGCCGAACGAGGTATCGGCGCTGCAGGCCCCGTCTCCTCAGAGGGACTCATCCTCACGGGGCTCAGTACAGGTCTGTGAATAGGTCCTCATCATAGGGAGGCCCGCTCTCGCCGTTTTGTCCTTCACAAAGCCCCGCGGCGGCTCCCGAGGTCTGGAGACCAGAGAGGAGGCCTCGCCGCCTCCTACGCCCCCGCCAAGGCCACCACACGAGACAGCCCAAAAGATCCCCGAAGCGGACTGTTGCTTCTAAAAAAAAAAAAACAAAACCAAAAACCCAACAAGCATGAATTACAATGGAACCTACCTGCTTCGGACAGGAGAAAAATGAGGCCGAAGAAGCCCACGCAAGCCATTTAAATACCATCCCGCAGAGGCCCACGGGATTTGGGGGCGGGACTGTGGGGGCGCACGCGCACAAGTAGAAGGCGCGCAACGCCGGGGGTGTGGTGGGGGAGGGTTACCGGCATACGCGCGCTCTCGGTGCAGTTGCGGCGCGAAGAAAGGCGCGCATGCGCCGTGGAGGCGTGCGAAGGCGCGCCGACTGCATTGCGGCGGGTTGCGGCGGGTTGCGGCGGACTGCGGCAGTGTGCTGCGAGTGCGCGCGAGCGCCGACCCCCTGCTTGGCCTCCATCACGAACTGACGGTCCTTCCCGGTCTCGGCCGCCTGCCCTTACGGCCTAGCCGGAGCCCCTCTTGCTCACACATCCTAAGCCAGTGTGCGTGATCCGCCTCCATGGATCCCAGGGATCCCGAACCTCCTGAGCTCTCGACCGGCGTCGCCTCGGTTCCTCGCGAGCCGCCCCGCGCTCCTTCGGGGCCTGGCATCCAGGGTCTCAGCGCGGCGGGCGACTCAGGTACTGGGCCCTGGGCTGAGCTCGGGGAGGACCCTTAAGTGCAGCCCTTTTGGGGAAAGTAAAGGCGTTTCAGTGTTCATTTACTTTATTTTTTTAAGGGAAATTCTGTACTAACAGGTGTAATGGCCGGGAATTTAAGTCAGGAGAAAGCAGGCAAGCGATGTGGTTAAGGGAAGTGAACTGGGTGAAATCTGGCAGACTGAACCCTGCTCCATCTGATCGTTGCGTGCTGGAACATTGTCTCTGTGAGATCAATGGTCAGTTTTTAAGAAGATCCAGAATTGCGCGTTGATTTACCCAGATGAAAACGTTAGCTTACAATTTCTAAGTACATTCTATTAGCTAATCAGGGTATGAATGTGGGCCCAGGGTGGCCAGTGATTGTGAATTTGCAACAGCTTGTGAAGTGACAGTCCACTAGAAAGTGGGCATTTCAAAAAAAGTAGATGGTCTTTCTGGAAGCTATGGAGATTTCCAGAGGCTAAGCACCTGCTAGGCACAATGGGTACGGAAGGGAACAGAGCATACAGTGTCTCGTGGGTCCACGGAGCATAGAGGGGATAGACAGGAAAACGAATGTATCGGGGGCAGGTAAGTGCTGTGATAAAAATGAAGTGGGGAGTAAACTGTTTAATAGAACTGTGGCGTAGCGGGTAAAGCCGCCGCCTGCGGTGCCGGCATCCCAGATGGACGCCAGTTCTTTTCCAGGCTGCTCCTCTTTCGATCCAGCTCCCTGTTTATGGCCTGGGAAAGCAGGGGAAGATAGCCCCAAGTCCTTGGGCCCTCGCAGCCATGTGGGAGTCGCAGGAAGAAGCTCCTGATTCCTGGCTAAGAATCGGCCCTGCTCTGGCCATCGTGGCCATCTGGGGAGTGAACCAGCAGATGGAAGACTTCTCTCTGTTTCTCTCTTTTTCAAATAAATAAATAAATACGTAAAATCTTCTTAAAAGATGAAGTGGGAAGGTGAGAGGAGGCTCTGGGGCAGAGATGGAGAATTATTTCACTCAGAAGGACTTTTTTTTTTTTTTAAAGATTTATTTATCTGAGAGGTAGAGTTACAGACAGAGAGGGACAGACAGGTCTTCCATCCTCTGGTTCACTCCCAAATGGCCATAACAGCTGGAGCTGGGCCCATCCGAAGGCAGGAGCCTGGGACTTCCCACGTGGGTGCGGGGGCCCAAGCACTTTGGCCATCTTGTGCTGCTTTCCCAGGCCATTAGCAAGGAACTGGATTGGAAGTGGAGCAGCCAGGACTCGAACCAGCACCCATATGGATTGCTGTGGTCCCACAATGCCGGCGCACCAAGTGGAATCTTAATCACTTAATCTTAATCACTGTGCCAAGTATCTGCCCTCCTTAAAAGTTGTTAAGGCCGGCGCCGCGGCTCACTAGGCTAATCCTCTGCCTTGCGGCGCCAGCACACCAGGTTCTAGTCCCGGTCGGGGCGCCGGATTCTGTCCCGGTTGCCCCTCTTCCAGTCCAGCTCTCTGCTGTGGCCTGGGAGTGCAGTGGAGGATGGCCCAAGTGCTTGGGCCCTGCACCCGCATGGGAGACCAGGAGAAGCACCTGGCTCCTGCCATCGGATCAGCGCGGTGCGCCGGCCGTGGCGGCCATTGGAGGGTGAACCAACGGCAAAGGAGGACCTTTCTCTCTGTCTCTCTCTCACTGTCCACTCTGCCTGTAAAAAAAAAAAAGTTGTTAAACAAAACTTGGGGCAGTTTATTTGCGTCAAGCAGAGATTTTTAAGATTTATTTATTTGAAAGGCAGATTTACAGAGAGAATAGGAAGAGATGAGAGAAAGAGGTGTCTTCCAACCGCTGGTTCACTTCCCTAATGACTGTAACAGCTAGGGCTGGGCCAGGCAGGAGCCAGGAGTTTCTTCCAGGCCTCCTACATGGATGCAGAGACCCAAGTATTTGGGCCATTCTCTCCTGCTTTCTCAGGCGGATTAGCAGGCAGCTGGGTTGGAAGTGGAGCCTCTGGGTCTTGAACTGTCGCAGCTTAACTTGTTATGCCACAATGCCAGATCTGAGATTGAAGTTTGGTGGAAATAATGCAAGTTCCATTATCTCTGAAATGGTTGAATTTTGAATATTTTTTCCTTGGAATAAGGAAGAGAGTGTTCCATGAGCAAAGAATGTAGTCTCAAGTTAGTGAAATGTGTATATATTTGTGTGTGTGTGTGTGTGTGTAATGCATGTATTTGCTTGACTGCAGCCAAAAAGCAGGGGTGTCAAATAATGACAAATGAGAAACATTAGGTGAAAAAAATGGTTGAAAGTACTGACTATTTAATATGTTAGCATTCATTAAATGCTTTTTCATGATAGGCACAGAGCTAAGTGTTTTATATGTGTTTCCTCAGTTCAAAAAAACAGTCATTGTTTTCCCCAAGCATAGCTGAGGTAACTGAGTATTGTATTAAGTTACTGACCCAAGGTCACATAGCTAGTGTGGCGGAACTGTTATTTAAATCTAGTTTCTACTGTTGACCCTGTTAAGAAAAATTAGCCAGAATGTGAGAATATGCAAGTCTGGTGTCCTTTGGATGTTATAAGCAGGCCTGCTTGTCTGGGATTGCTTTTCTAGGAGAGAGTACTTTTGTTTGACTTCCTGCTTATTGTTGATTTGGATGTCACTTCACATTGCCTTATAAATCATTAGCAGGTTTTGTATCCTCCTATTAGAATTCATGTCAGCATTCTTAACTGACAGATGGTAGTTCTTTGCTAGAATTCTCCTAAGAACAGTCTTAAGGGGCTGGCATTATTGGTATAGTGAGTAAAGCCACCACCTGCAACACTGGCATCCCATTGGGCACTGGTTTGATTCCTGGCTGCTCCACTTGGATCCAGCAGTGGAAGATAATCCGAGTGCTTGGGTCCTTTGCTACCCACATGGAAGATCTAGAAGAAGCTCCTGGTTCCTGGCTTCATCCTGGCCCAGCCCTGGCTGTTACAGCCATCTGGGGAGTTGTGCGGGCCTGCCGCACCAGTTGAACGGAACCTGAAGGAGGGAGTGGGAATGAAAAGAGGGACAAGGGCGCAGAGAATGGAGCCAAGACAACAAGGCTGATCAAGGCTCGTTTATTCTAAAGTCCCAGTGGTATTTATACATAACCAGCTGCAGAACAAAGAAGCACAAAAGATAACAACATATGTAACCAACTTATCGGGGCCTCTGGTGGCACAGGTAATTTTCACAGAGCGTTCTTGATTATCATCCTCCTTCAGGATGGGAGTATGTGACTTTCTTATCCCAGGAACTCCACAAGCCAAGATTGGCCTTAAGTTGTCCAAAGGCTGCCCACAGGGAGTGAACCAGTGGATGGAAGATTGTGATCTCTTTCTCTCCCTCTCTCTGTAACTCTGCCTTTCAAATACACAAATTTTTAAAAAATAAGTTTTAAATGTTATTTGTTCCCTCATTAATTAATGAGTAAAACTATAGACATGGATTTACTTTATATGAGTCATTTTTAAAAATTTTTTAATTTAATTTTTTATTTTTGACAGGCAGAGTGGACAGTGAGAGAGAGACAGAGAGAAAGGTCTTCCCTTTTCCATTGGTTCACTCCCCAATGGCCACTGTGGCCAGTGCGTTGTGGCCGGTGCACTGCACCAATCCGAAGCCAGGAGCCAGGTGCTTCTCCTGGTCTCCCATGCAGGTGCAGGGCCCAAGGACTTGGGCCATCGTCCGTTTTTAAACTATTTTTTTTTTACTTGAAAGGCAGAGAGAGAGGGAGCGAGGTCCCTCATCCACTGGTTCATGCCCTCAAATGTCTGCAACAACCAGGGTTATGCCAGGCTGAAGCCAGGAGCCCGGAACTTAATCTGGGTCTTCCACATGGGTGGCAGGGACCAAAGAACTTGAACCATCACGTGCTGCCTCCAAGTTTGTGCATTAGTAGGAGGCTGTAGGAAGAACCCAGCCACTCCCGATGTGGGACATGGCATCTTAGCTGACAGGCCAGACTTGCCCTTGTCTCTGAGTTTTCACAGTAGACTCATTCTGGCTCCTGACTCTGGTTTCCTGCCTTCTAATATATTCTGAAGTTTGCAGAGTGATCTTTTCAAATAAAAAGTCTGGTCGAGTTTGATTTCTCAGCCTACAGTCCTTCAGTGTCCATTGTTTTATGCCCACATCCCAGTTCAAACTGACCAATACAGACATTGAGAAGCTCTGTTTCCATTGCCAATTTCTTTTTTTTTTTAAAGATTTATTTTATTGGGGCTGGCACCGTGGCACAGTAGGTTAATCCTCTGCCTGCGGCGCCAGCATCCCATATGGGCGCTGGTGCTAGTATCTGCTGCTCTACTTCCAGTCCACCTTTCTGCTGTGGCCTGGGAAAGCTGTAGAAGTTGGCCCAGGTTCTTGGGCCCTGCACCCATGTGGGAGACTAGGAAGAGGTGCCTGGCTCCTGGCTTTGGATCGGCGCAGCTCCAGCTGTTGCGGCCATTTGGGGGGTGAACCAATGGAAGGAAGACCTTTCTCTCTGTCTCTCCCTCTCACTATCTGTAACTCTAACTCTCAAA